CGCTATGTTGCGTCATTTGACCGTTTCGATGTCCTTTTTTCTTAATATAATACATTAAAATTTTTCTGCGAATGTACGAATTAAATTTCATTATCACTCGCATGTGTTTATTTTGAACAAAAACAAGCCAAAAGTAAAGATTTGCAAACGAATTCGGCGCTGATCGCCAAGGTGATAAGAAACATTAGCGTCGAATAATACGCTTTTTTTTTCTTCTTATCTTTTTTTCGTGCGCCGTAGTTTTTACACAAAATCACGTTGAGCGAATCAAAAGTGCGAGCGCGAATAATGTAATCCGCCCCCGCGACAAACCATTGGACGAACGCGAAATGGCGGTAATGCGGCGCGATTTCGCAAGAAATCGCTAATTGAAACGCTCGCTTGCGCCCGCGCTCGCGATCCTAATCGAGCCGGCCGGCGCATTTGCATCCAGTTATACATTCGTCATTGGAAAACTTTGCTCTTATCGACGTTTAAGTTATTAAGAAAACTTGTGCGAGTCGCGGATTGCTAATGCAAATCACGAAACGCGACGTTTATTTCCGTGCACGATTATTATGTTACAGCAAAATTATATGGCGCGAGAGCGGAGTGCTTTTACTCCAGCGAAAAGAAACGTAAAGGAAAATTAAAATAAAAAAACAAAATATTGATTTTGAACAATTGTTGTACGTTGCGTCGCAAAAATTTAATTTTTCAAATTTTGAGATTTTACACGCAAGTTGCAATTATTTAATGTGTTGTGGAACTTGATCGGAGCCATTTGATCGGAAAGTGACTTTTTGCGATCGAACAAAATCTACGATCGAATCCACCGTCGACATTCAGACGACACATTTCGCGATTTTGTTTTACGTCGCGTTTTGTGAAAAAAAAAAAAAAAAATTACGCTCGGTAACGTGAAAAATAGCGAAATAAATCACGAATTAACATTCGAAACGAGGCTCGACAAGCCTTGCCTCGCTAAAGCGCGACTGCGAAGTGTAAGCGCGAATAATATAGTCCGCCCTCGCGCGCATGCAGATTACGCAGTAACGCTGGCGGTAACGCGAGCGGTAATGCCGCACAATTACGTCGTAATAATTAGTAATTAGGTGTGCCACCGGGAAAGGAGAGAGAGAGAAAGAGAGAGAAAGAGAGAGAGAAAGCAATGCGGATCGAAGAGAGGGCGAATTCAAGCGAGAGTAGCCTGCTCGCTTGCGACTCGAGTGTGACTTAAGTATTATCCGGGCCAGCCATTACACACCCCCGTCGCCGCCGCCACTTTGCCCATTCGTCCCTGTAATTGATACCGCTGTGGATGCCTTATCTGAATTGCCATGGTCGAACAATTTCATGTTGTGGCCGAGACAGGAAAGCGACTTTTCTCCCCCGCATGCGATGTTATTGTGCCGCCGCTGTTGTTAGTTACTGGTTACTGACACTACAGGTCTCGCCGACGTGCGCAATGGAACTGTGAACGATATGGATATATATATATATATATACATATACATACGTACGCGAGACAATGCAAATTGCATAGCTCCGTCGGTGGTCGTATCACGCTTGTTCGATAAAAAGACATTAGTGCCAAAAAGAACGCGAGACTCGCTCGGAATTTCAATCCGGTTATTATACCCCGGCCTTGCATGAAGATTTTCGATAACGTAAACGCAACGCGCGTGTGTGCTCCGAAAATATTGATTCTTTTTTGTATTACATATGTAAATGACGAGAAAAGATTGTCGGAGGAGAATGAGGAAAAATCGCTTTTTGAATTTTCGAATTAGATATCTCGGTCGATTTTTGCGCGGTTGAATTTTTTGTCTCCTCGACGATAATGCAGCATCATTTGGATTATATCGAAAAAACGTACGGACGTGCGCAGTTGGGGACAGTTTGCCGAGGGGGGGAGTAATTACTTACCCGGAAACGCATTATCGTTGACCGCAAAGCACATTCGCTTCACCCTTTTCTTCTTCTTTTACCAGGAAATCGGGGGAGAAAGGGAGAAAGCGTTGTTCGAGATAGTTGTTCGTTGGTCTGCAAGATCAAAGATGTGGCAATTAATTGTTTTTTTTTTTTTATATTATTATCTGTGTAATTACCACATCCAAGTAATAAATCTCGCGAACAATCTTTGTCGAAATTTTAAGCATTGTTGAAAAAATGTTTGTTAATTGAAAACATAGTTACAAAAAAATTGTTTATTGTTCTCGCAATTTGTTGTATTCTTTTTTTATTCTTTCACAAATCTCAAGTAGAGTCACGCTTTTCTCTCTTCTGGAATTTTCGGAGAAGTGGAAAAAAAAATTCTGTCCCGCAAGAATCCCAAGTCGAAGAATGCGCGCGTGGAAAACGACAATGCTCAGACATATGCAAATGATTTCCCGTTAAAAGCCATTGCGCGCCCCCGATCCGAGGAAAGATCTGAGAAGTTGAAAGAAAACGGAGAAGAACTTTCCCGGTCGCTTATGAGCAAACTTCGGCCATTTTAAAGTTCGCTCGACACGATCAATAGAATAGGCAGTGCGTTCAATTTTTAAAAAGAATTCTGTACTTTGAACTTTCGCATTTTACAAGACAACTACTTCCAGGGAGAGATTTACGATTTTTTTTCGACACGAATTTCAAAAACTAATCGCGAGAATTTTCGAAAATTTGTTTTCAAAAAACGCGCGCGGATTGTGTAAAATGACCTTTAAAGCACGCGAGAGTGATGGGCGATTTAAAAGTCGAGCCCGACCGATTGTCGCGTGCGCAACCTTTGACTGTAACCCAGATTGCACTAATCGAACGCGATCTGCGCACACACACACACACACACACACACACACATACACACACTCACCGGTATTTACGCTAGTAATTTCATCGTGAAGTGGACGTTGTGCGTTTATGCGCACGCTTCTCTCTCGCGCGTGTACACGTATTTTCGCGTGCACGTCTTGATCCGACCGGATAAATCAGCAACAACGTGTCGCATTTGTATCGCAGAATGAGAAATTCGAGATTTCTGAAGTAACATTTACGAGATTTCACGTGTGGGGAAATCTAACTGTCAGTTTTAACGAAAGCTGATTTGAAAATGTCTAACATATATATATTGTTTCTAAATATTTCACACGCAACAGTCGTTGCGCGTAAATTTAGTCGCTTAATTCGTGTTTCTATTTGCTATCTCCTGTTTAAGTGATTTGGTCTTACATGTCTGATTGTCTGATTTCAAAATTCTCATTTGTCCAATTAATACACTTGCGCGTATCGCGAGCCAATCTTAACACTAGATTTACCAGACCAGTCATTTTGACTGGTCGTGCAATTTCAATTCAAAATTCCTACTGCATGTAACATTTGCTTTCCGAAATGATGTTATGACTTTTGTATAAAGCTATAAGTAGAGAATACATTTTATGAACTTAATGTTACTTTATATATATTCGTAACAAATATATGGTAATAAATATATGGTAATATATGGTATTAAAGAGCTGGTATATCTAGTGTTAAACTACGCTTTAAAATCTGTAAAAATTCGCGCATTTATCGTCAGAATAATCTTAAAAAAAAAAAAAACACTTTTGCGATCTTTATTGGCATATATAAACGAAAAGGGAAGAAAGACGTTACGTATTAATTAACAGATCTTACGGACCTGTCTTTGACGAGCATCCGGAATTTCGGAAGTAACAATCTCTCGATCTCTCGAGGGTGGACGAGGCATGCAACAAGTGCTCGAAAGAGGAGGCGAAGCCACGGTTAAAAGTGAAGAAGGAGGGTGGCCGGGTAACAAGAGTCGGAGGGCAAGGATGAGAGGGGAGGGTTGGGACGCGACGAACCTGACACGAAAGCGGCGTTCAACGAACCACGCGAATTTACGCCCTAACGATGCGAAACATTTCCCGAAACGTTTGCGCGGCGAACGCGCATCGAACAAATTCGTCACGTCCTGTTGAATTCTATAAACAAATTGATTTATGAACGGTTGGGCTTATTTTGATATTAAAAATTTGTGCGCGCGCGTATTCCTCACCCTCCCGAAGTTCTTTTGAAAAATACATGATATGTCTATACATAATATGTCTTACACAAAAAAAATACATAAATATGTCTTGCACGATTACACTATTTTTTTCTTTTTTTCAATCGAACCGTACGTAGAAAAATAGATAAGTTTCTGTGCTGCTTGATTTTCAATTAAAAGCTCTCGCGTGATATATTAAAAGTTGAAGCGCTTGATAGAAAGGGAATGTTGCCGCGCAATAACACGCCACGCGGGGAAGAGACGTTGCCGCGGCGATGGCTAGCCGATCGCGCTGGCTTGTGATGGCGGGCTTTATTAAATGCGTATAGACTAACTAGCTCGGCTATGTGATGAAGAATTCCGTTGCACATGACTTACCACTACGACAGCCCTAGTCAACGACGCGACGGTTTCATAGAGAATTTCATAGCAATCTGCACGCAACAACTCCCTCGTCACGCGGAACGTTTTCCCCTTCGATCGCTAATGAAGCGTCGATTGCGTTGCTCGACGAAATTTAGACCCTTGGTTTTTGCTTTTTTCTTTTTAAATAAAAATTAAAACATTGATTTGCGGCGTTGTCACGACCTTGCGTCAAAATTGTTATTTAATCAATCGTTATTATTGACACTTTCCCGAATTGGCTGGCTTTCTCATTAGAGTCGAAGAAAAATAATACGTCCCGATATATATTGTCAAAGAAAACGACAATTGCGGGGCTAAGTGAGGGAAAAGCCGATGCGTTGAATCGTGACGACGCAGTCATTAAAAATTACATTAGAAAAGAATATGCGTGTTCTATGTACGGTGGGGTTTATAGTTTTTCATTTCATTCTATTGTTTACTTTACATCCATCACGGGGACAAAATTTGATTTTTTCAATGGAATGATTTCATTACTCGATATCGATACTTTCCGAAACATCACACGACGACGACGACAACACGTTTAACATTGTTCAGTAGAGAACGTAATTTTGACAGATCGCGCAGATCTTTCTTTCCTCCCTCGTGTCCTCGCGTGAACGTAACGTTCTAAATCTCAGTGTCGCGAGACTTGTGTTTTTGAGAAATAGAAACAAATTAGCGAACGATTGTGTGGAGCGCTATAATGCTACTTAATTCTGAGCGAAACTCAGATTTCAGCGCTAAAACGCTAAAACTAACCTGTCAAATGTGACGGAAAAACCGAGACTTTCTTGTATTTACGATTAAAAGTTACGAACTTATTTTTTTATTCGCATCGATCGTCGAATATGGTGAGAGCCGAAAAAAGAGATATCAAATTGTTGTTGCATTTAAAGAGAAGCAGATTATACATGTGTAAGATCGGCTAGAGAACTCGCGCCAAGAGGTTACCGAATATATTTTTTGTCATACCGGTCCGTGGGTTATAAATCGAATTTGTCGAAATCGAGAGTCGGTGTGTTTCTGTACGGCTGCCTCGCCGTGCATTTTTATCTTTTTCTCATTTCTGATACTTGAAAGATTATTATTATTATATCTTTTTTTTATAGTAACAGAAAACGAGTTTAAAAAAATCACACACACACACACACACACAGTTATCCTCTCTCGCGCAATGATCGTTGTAATACATCCGTGTAATGCATTCGGAGAAATGTAATAAGCGCGCTGAGAGTTGCGCTTTTGCGAAACGTGTCATGGAAAAATTCGAAAATATCGAAAGAAAATGTTCGCCCTCGAACCTTTTCGCCGTACGAGCGCACACGTGAGTTTATCAACTTTTAATTTCAAAATTCGTAGATGCAAAAAAGTAAATTACATGTAAATTACATATGTATATTCGAATATGTATCTAAAAATTTGAATGATCAAAAATTTAAGAGAGACTTTTACGTCCGGTGGTTTGAGATTTTCCAACATAAATATCTCAGTATTGAGGGAGGGATGTTAGTGAAGTTCATCAACGTGTGCCCTTCCTCTCTCTCTCTTTCTCTCTTTCTCTCTGCGCGAGCTAATTAGGAAAATTACATTTTTGCTGTGTCGCAGACGCGAGAATAGATTTTCATCGGACACGGCGCAACATCGACCGCGTAAATCTCCGCGTAAGAAGCTCAAAGCGAGTCGAACGTCGGCGTCGCTCGTGATCGAACAGCTGAAGAGCGGTTTTCGGCGTTCGGGTGATTTCGCGCAGCGAACACGTCGAAATTGGCGTCCGGAATTCTGGATAAGATATCTTTGGGATAATTGTCGCGAGAAAGAATCGTCCGCAGCGAATCGCCAACGCGACGAAATCGTCAAAAATCGATCCAGAAATCTCATTCCGCAATCGCCCAAGATCTGTTCCATCGGTTTGCGTTTCGGCGCGAGAAGTCTGAGCGACGACTTGTCGAACTTCTCGAGCTACAACATGATAAGGAACTTGAAAAAACGTCTGAACAACGTTCGCAGGTAGTGAATAAAATTTATCGGTCATAAAAAAGTTTACAGTAGGTTTATTCGAACATAATATAAATATTATTTAATTTTATAATATAAATATTATAAAATTATTACAGTACAAACGTGTGTGTGTGTGTGTTTGAACTTATATGCGTTATATACAAAGCACATCCTGTGACAAAACGAACACGCTTGTCGCAATTTCAGGCCGATATTTACGTGCAAATATTGGTTCGCGCAAGCAACATCGAGAAGCACATCGACGGACGTGTTTCTCAGAGCGCACAAAAGTCACCAATCAACGCCGATCAGTCGTACATCTTTGAACAAAGAATCAAACGTCTTTAAACGCAATGAGATTCCAAACGTTATCGATCGATTATGTCAACATTCTGAGAAAGAAGATGCGTCAAAGTCTCCGCAAGACAATTACGCAGCTGGAGATCGTCCCTTAGTACCCAACCTCTTTGACAATTCCTCTGGACCCGGCAGAGACGACGGGTTCCGTGTGAAAAAAAAGGACGCGCAAATTCAAACGTCGAGCAAAAAAAAACACACGCGACGAAAGAAAACGAAGAAAAGACCGAAGCTGATGAATGAAGAAGAAAACGACTCGTATTTTGATGTCGACTGTTGCGACTCGAGCGAGATAAATGAGAAGTCTAGACTGTCCGTTCGAGTTTTGCAGAAAAAACGTGGCGAGTACGTTGACAAATTTACAGCCGTGAGTCGGCAGATCGAGGAGATAACGGCTGCGCTACGGGAAACTTGCTGCAGCGAGACGGATTCGGAGAACAATGACGAATTTTACTGTTCGTTCGACAAAGCGAAACCAGAAAAGAAACGAGAACCGGAGAATTGCGCAAATAGGATCGTTGCGAAACGAGGTACGCGCGTGAAGAGAAAGACGCGCGATTTAACAGTAAATGTGACGAAAGTCGCTGAAAAATCCGCTCGACATGTGAACAGAAAACACAGAAGTACAGATTTGTCGATGAATTCCGACAGAAACGACGATGTCGTTCCGCGCGATTGCGCGTTCACAATACAACAGAAGACAGTTCGGTGTTCAGGTAGAACACCCGGGAACACTCAGAACTGTCGTTTGGTCAGACAGATCTCGTTCGATCTGGATTTAACGAAGGACGACGTTCGAGAATTTTCTCTCGAGGACGATACAATCTGTTTGGGAGACTATTTCGCGATGTCGAACGGTTATGCGAAAGATTCGCTCGTCCGAAGCTTCGCCGTTGAGTCGAAACAATACAAGATCGTCAAGGAGAAGACGGGCGAGACGATTATTCTGAACGACATCAAGCGAAGAATCGATCGAGATTTCGACGATCTGGCCGAGAGGAGCGGGAACGACACGACGGAGGAATTTCTCACGACCGTTTCTCCGAAAACAAAAAGTGACAATTCCGCTCGCTCGTTTTTTAAATTGACTCCTCCGTCCGGCGACGCGAGTCGGAAGAGAACGATCGACAAAATCAGATCCGTGCCGTTGCTCCCGGCGTCATACGATTATTCAACGGATCGGTCACACATTCGCGATTCGAAATCGCACGGTTGTGCGAGCGAGCACGAGTCGAACAAAACTTCCACTCTGTCGAAGTACTTCTCGTGCGCGCAATTGTCGTTGAGCTTGGTCTCCTTAGACGGTAACGAACACGCGAACCCGATTGCAATTAACGATTCGTATTCAAGTTCGAACTCCAATCGCTACGATTTAGACTTGAACGTCGAACGCTCGAATTTGAATTCGACCACCGATTCGGAATACGTCGCGCGATACGACACGGCCAGACAATATAATTCCTCGAGCGAATTTCCGATCGAAACGATAAACAAAACAAACGACGAGGTACCCGTCGAGGACCGACGGGTTTTCGTGAAAAATCCGACGACTCGCGAGCATTTTTTTCTCGGGGAGAGAAAAGAGGGAGATAACTCGCGCGTCGAACGCGACGAACGGCACGCGTCCGATTTCATCACGTTCGAGACGCCGAAGCGCAACGTCGGAGGTTCGATAGATTCGGGCGTGTTTAGCTCGTCCCTGATCGATCTTTACCCTCCCGAGAGCTCCTCTTTCAGCGCCGGCAAATCGGAGCTTAAGAAGAAACGCTGCAACGACGACAGAAAACTCGTCGCCGGCAAATCGTCCTCGCTTATTTTCGATTTCAGTTCGGATAGCAGTTGTACCGACAACACGCTCGATCGTCGAGTGGATGACGTCGTGCGGGATCTCACGAAGAATCTGATACTTTGCGAGAGAAGGGCCAGAGCGAAGCTGAAGGAGATGCGATGGGCGGGAATGAGAAAGGATCCGCGTTGTGTACGTATTTGCAGGCAATTGCGTGAAGAAAATCTTTCAGAGTTGACAAAAAACAATTTATTAGTTTTTAATCTCCAAAACACTTTACCCGTCACGATAAATCAATTGATATTTTTGCGATATTCTTCTTCCCCCAGTCTCGACACACGCGCGTTTGCAAGTTTGCAAGCAGACGTTTTCACGACACTAGCCACGATTCTTTCATCTCGTCGCGACGATCCAGCGAGGACGAGGAGATCGTCAGCTTGTCCACGCCGTCGCTCTTGTCGGATTCCGAAAACGAGAATCGCGATTTCACGCGTCGACACTGATGACCGTTTCATTTTGTGAATTACTTTTAAGTTCTAGAAATGCTCACACGATGTTTCTTTTTTTTTTTTTCTTATAAATAAACAACAATCTTGATAAAATATCGTTGTCAACGTGTGAATGAAGTGAGAAAGATCGAATTAACAAAAGACAGATTGCGTTACTTCCACGATCTCGTCATTTAACTTACGAGCGTGACGATTGTCAGTGTCACTTCACGGTTTGTGTCTCGCGATATGCGCGTCGTACCGAGTTAACCACATCATTAGACGACACTGACCGTTTCCACGTTGCGGTTCCCTTTGAGGGTAATTGGATACAAACGGCGCACGGGGGCGAGAGAAGGCTCGCGCTACTCAGCCAAACGGAAACGCGCATAAACGAGACGGACGGTCGTCGTTTCGCGCGACCATCAAAAGAGATCTTCTTCTCTCGCAGAATTGTCCCGTCCCGGAATAGACGTCCAATTGACCAAAGAAAGTCTCTCTCTCTCTCTCTCTCTCTCTCTCTCGTTTCGCGAGAAAACGGTCCGGCCGGAAAACCAAAGGAAAACGCCGCGGACAAACGATGTCGCGAACGATACGCGATCAAAAAAATAAGTCCCGAGACTTTGTTTCGAGATAGAAACATCTGCGTTTGATACGTCGGAAATGGCGATTTCCGTATCACCCGGGGACGGGCGTGCTTGACGATGAAAATACGGAAGCTGTCAAGTGTATTCTCGAACGTGTGTTACATGTACGTGATATGAAGATACACGTAAAATGAATTTTGAGAGAGCTACATTATGTAGATTATTATTTTTTGTATTTAGTTTATTTATTTATTTATTTTTGATGACGACAAGTCGAGGAAAATGAACGCGGAGAGATTTCGTCGGCCATAATAAAAAATACCTCAAACGCGCGATCTTTATCCTCTTTCTTTTTATTTTTTTTTTTTTTCTTATTCGATCATCTCTCTCGTTGCTGCGTGTGACAATCGTTTCTCGCGTTCTTGAGCTAGACGCGCGGAACGACGATTTTCGGAAACCGTCGGGATTTTTACGCGGAATTCAACCTCCGCGTCAATGCTCGTACGTTTCGAATTATCGCGAGCTCCGCGCGCAAGATAGGTAGAGTACGTTCGCGGAGTGTGTCCCACATCGCGAGGATCTCGAGCGAGATTATCACCGGGTGATACTTATTTCGTTCTTTGTGCGGTTCTCCATGACGGCGTATCAAAGGGCTCCCGGGGAATTAGGTAGCGCAAGCGCCCCGTCTATAAGGTGCTTTTCCCGTGGCTGATCCTCCAGTCGCTGTGAATAGCAGGTTCCCGGATTGAGAAGCGTGTTTCTCTCTCTTCCTCTCTCTCTTCCTCTCTCTCTCTCTCTTTCTCTCTCTCTCTCTCTCTTTCTCTCTGTCTCTTTCCCTTTCTCTCTCTTTCTTTCTCTCTTTTTCTCTTTTCTAATTCCGCCGGCGGAAGTAATTATGCTCTTCTCGTCCATGAAGAACACCGTTATACGGCGCGATGATACGAAAGAAGAAGAGCATTCGCCGAGAAGTTGCCGAGAAATATATGTGTAATTACGTACGACGCAACCTTGCATGCTTCTGCGCGATTCAATTGGTAAAAAATTAATTTTCTCTTCTCGTTGTTTCGCGCGCGTAATTTTTCGTTTAACGAAATCGGTCGTGTGAAAAAGAACGCGACGACACACGAAAGCATCGTGTGCGGAACGTTCTGGTCTGGGAAATGGACAAACAGAAAACGATGCTTTTACCGCTCGGCAAACAATCGCCGCTCCGGCGCGCACGTTCGCTCTGGTCAGGGCTGGATTGAAATCTACGCGGCACCAGTGCGCGTTTGAAATAGCAATCATTTTCTTTAATTATAATTTTACAGCACAATTACATTGGAGAAACAAGAATTGAAATGTTACAACTGTCGATTGTTTTTTTTTTCACACATGTTGTTGGCAGTTTAAAACTTACTGATGGTGTTTAACATTTTTTTCAGACGATCTATCAATCAATTAAATGTCAATTAACACGTCAAATATCTTCGTTGGTCATATCACATTATAAGTTTTGAAAAAAACAATTTGTTTCAACACGCGCGCGTGTTTACCTTCTCGCCCGGGGTATCGAAATATCTTGTCTCGATCCTGAACTCTGATCTCTTAAACGACGACGGATATCTCGAGGATAATAACTGTGAAAGCTTTAGGAAAACGCGCTACCTCCTCGCAAACTTCCTCTTCTCTCTCTTTCTCTCTCTCTCTCTCTCTCTCTCGCTCTCTCTCTCTCTTTCTCTATCTCTCCGAATACCTCGAACGAGAAATTTCCGTCTCGAAAGCAATCAATTTTCGCTCGCGGAAACTGGAGACACGGAACATCTTGAGATGAGGAATAGTTTTCAATATGTTTCCCAACGTACAAATTTAACGCGATGTCAGTAAAAAACAAAAAATAAATGACACCAGTAACTGATCTGACATCGCACCACTGGAGTATAACAACGTTACCAAATGTTTTCAAAATTTGTCAACAGACGGAAAAAAGAGCTTAATGAAATGTATATCCCTGCCAGGCGGTCTGACAATATGAGATTTACTTCGTCGGAACGAGCAATGGGAAGAGCAATTCTCTTATATTTTATCGCTATACGTCAGCGTGAACTGGCGTATCCCTCGCGTATACGCACAGAGTCGATCGTATAGTATATATACAACGTGTAGGGTTGATCAAACAAATGCTCGATGTCACGGAGATTACCCGGCACGGGTAAGCGTACACATCACCGTCGACTGCATGTCGTTTAAGGGCGTTTCGCGTGGTGATTCTCTCTCTCTCTCTTTCTCTCGGTTTTAGGGCCGGTAACTGGCAGAGAACAATTATGTGATTCACGCCGATTTTCCCGATCCCCGATGTGTTCCGAGCGACAAAGCGATTTCCCCGCTTCTAATATAATTTCTCGGCTTGCTCGGAATATAAATGAATGATTGTTAATAACAATTTTTTTTATTTCGAGGAAATAGTCGAATTTCCTCTTGCGAAAATTACTTTGTTGCGATATATGTTCTCTCTCTTTCTCTAATATATATAATCAAATTAAAATTTTGTTACAGACTCATTTACAGACAATTAAGTATTACATTTTTATAAATACTAATTTTAATTATTTATCTACAAAATTGGAGTAAAACGAGGAGTCAGTTATTTTAATGTATTCCACCGAGATGGTGTGTTTCCCTTGATACACTCTCGAGCTCTCATCGACGTAATTGACAATCTGCTTGAGGGCTCACGAGAGAGAGAGAGAGAGAGAGAGAGAGAGCTCGTGCCATATCGCAGACGTAATAACCTTGAGCCACGTTACATCGAAGCACGTGGTTGTCGATTAGAAATTATTCCGCGCATACGTGCTCTTTAAAATTTAATTTTATGAAAAAAAGAAGAATAATATACCGATGATATTTTCTCAAGTTTTCTTACGTTGGGAAAGAAGGGAGGAGAGAGACAGCGCGTCGTCTTCAGCGGAGACTCTAAGACGATATTTCCCGCGAACTCTCGGTCTTATGTGAAAAAGAAAAAAGCATCCTCTCTCGTGAATCGCGCGTGTGCTGCAGACGCCCACGTAGAACGTACGTTGTGTGTACGTGCGCACCATCCACACACGAGCGCGCTTAAGACATCGAAGGGAAACTTCCCACGGGAGGAGCAATTCTGAAAATTCTTCGAAGACACGTCGATATAGAGGCTGTACTCGAGACTGCCCTCGACGTCGCACTCCATCTCGACCTGAGAAAATTCTATTTCGCCGGGGCGAATAGCAAAGCGAAGATGACAAAGTCAAGAAGAAAAATTGCGAAATTGCTTCTCGCGAGAGAGAGAGAGAGAGAGAGCGCGAGACTCACCGCCTCGATTTGACGGAGCCCCGAACCGGTATATCCAGTATATAATCCGGTACGCCGGTCGGTCGGTCGGTCTCTCGCAGTATCGACTTGTGTCACACAGCGCGGCTTTTCGGACGGAAGAAGGAGCGCGACAAGGTGAGAGAAGGCGCCGGAGAGAAAATATCGGGAGGGGTTAAGTAGATTCCCGTAGCCTTTGTGGCCGCGTGCTCGATTTGTCGCTCTACGTCGGCACGATCTTCTCGCTTGGACTTGGATATATCCCTGTCGCCGGTAAAATGCACTGCCAATCGAATTCCCGATCGACCTGACAGAAGACGTGTGCGAGAAAGAGAGAGAGAGAGAGAGAGAAGGAGAGAGGAACTCGAGAGATTTATCTCTCAGACTTTTCGGTCTTCGTTGCCGAATTGGCTTACGGAAGGTTGCTCCCTAACAGGGATATTCCGATCGCCCGCAGGAATTGGATTAACGACGTTATTGCGGTCGCATACCGTTTGTGATGGAGTAAATTGTTTAATCCGTGTGATCGCGAAGAGGGAAAGAAAACTCACCGGGTTAAATGAACAAATCAAGCGCGATGTACATTAATGCGAATGTACGACACGAAATGAGTATACACAACATCAGCATCAAAATAAAATTCACTCGCACAGCTTTGTTTATTTTGATTCTTCGCTGCTTTTATTTGAATAACATTATAACTAATAACGACTATATCGGTTTCAATCGCCAAAATGTTTGCCGAATCTTTCGCGCTCCAGTACTCGCGACGCGAGCCAACTAACCGATTCGCGCAAAGATGAGAGAATTTGGATGCCCGTGGATGGAACCTATTAGCGAACAGTTGCGGAGGATTTCGAAAAGGAATCAGCCTCTTAGGTTTAAAGGTCTTCTCCCTTTCCACCCTCTCTCTCTCTCTCTCTCTCTCTCTCACTCTCACTCTTTTTCCCAAGAGACTCACGACACGTCTCTTTATTCGGATGGCACACAAAGGTTCCGCGAAGATTACAGGACCACCAATCCCCTTCTGTATGGATTCTACGGAAGGGCATTATAACGACACATAGTGAAGTAATATGGGAAGGGCATCTCATCCCCGTGGACAATACCGCGCCTGAGGATCACTCTGTAGTGCTCTCTCTCTCTCTCTCTCTCCTCTTCTTTTTGTCATTCTCCTTAGATTGTTATGTAACCGTTACATTGTGACAACGTGATTTCGACGACGTCGCGAATTTTCATTCGAAGAAATAAATAACATCTGTTTTTTTTTAACGTGTCGAATACTACCGACAGACGGGGAGAATTTGTGTGGGATCATAGGTATTGTGATTTTGTCATATAGAAATAAATGCTGCAGAGAGATGTTTTTTTTTTTTTTTTTTTCGATGAACATGTATTTCAGAAGTCAGGATATTATTATATACAGATATGGACACAGCGCAACACACGCATTTTCAAATTAATTAATCTTAACTGAAAAATAATAAGAATCGAGCTATCGAAAGTAATATCGGAGAGACGATAACGCACGCAACGCACGAGATTTGTCGTTAACGATTCGAAAATGGTACAGCAATATCATACATTTATACATAATATACCTATGCGGTGTGTGTGTGTGCGTGTATGTGTGTTTGTGTGTGTGTGTTGCGGTCTTATATAATATATATACACAATCTCGAGAAACATTCGAATACATGATGTCTTAAAAACTATACGCGATTTCTTTTCTCATAGTTTTTTAGTAGATAATACATTTTATATATCTAGATACTTTTACATCTAATGTAACGTGTACGCGTGCGCAATATATACTTAATTATTACATTCAGCAGCGATACAATTTTTGTTTTTCTTATCGGTACATGTAGAGTAGATACACGTTCTCCACAAGCATAACTACTACCGTGACTAAATCTATGTATGGATTTTCACAATTGCAATTAAAGTACGAAATGAGATAAGGATTGATTTGATTTTTCGTGTGTGTGTGTGTGTGTGTGTGTGTATTGACTTAAATTAAATTTAGATATTAATTAAATAACATATGTATATATATTTTGACATAATTTTTTTTTACTTAGATCTACGTATGCCGCGATAGATTTCCATGATGTTGCAACTGAAACAAAGCTATAAAAAAAAAAAACAAAAAAACAACAAAAAAAGCGGGTAATGATCGATGTGTGTTTTAACTCCCTAAAATTAAAATTGCATTCCGGCCGAAACAAAAGTGACTCTCAACGTTGTCATTAATTCGTATTAAAATTCTATTGATTATTGCGTTTGAGCGCAAGTAGAAACGACTGATAATTTCTGAAAGCGGCCGAACTTTTCAGAAACGGCATGCGTGTGTGAATTTGTTTTTACTAAGATATACATTTATTGCGATTGACTTTGCATTACGCGCGATTTCGAGTTCTGTGACTAGATCGGCCCAGTGGTCTCGCGGCCTGAGTGCGGGGTCTGCGAACGGGAGAAGTCCCGAGTTCGAATCCGCAACGTCGGATTTTTCCGGGCCGGTCTTTTCTCAAGTTCGAGTTTATCGATTGAAAAACCGAACTTAATTCGAGGCTTCTCGAATCTTGGTGAATGTATATGCACTACTATAATCTGTATTTGGTATATAGCTTGGTATGTAACTATAATGGCGTATTAAAATAACTAGAAATTTGGATTAAAAATTATCATATAGATGAGACAAAATTTATAACATTTGTATGAATGTTAAAATTGGGTGTATATGACGGTTAGAGAAAATATTGTAACTCTTGAAGGGACAATAAAAAAAAATTCGCTAGGTTGTGTGTGACTAGATCCACACGTCTTCTAAAAATACAGTTGACTAGAAAACACTCTCCTTCGTTCTTAATCAAGACAGAACGAATAATAATGAGAAACTCAAGCGCATAATCCGAACAAAAAACAAACATACGCAAGCTGATGATAAAAGTTATTTACACGATATAAAATTAACACACGAATATCTCTCTCTACGCGTGACTAAATGTGTATTGAGAAATTACGATGCGCCTCGGATGATTAAATGCGTTCGATAAATCTCTAATAACGGGGAGACTTGTTTTTCTAATTAGAATTGTGTGATATACTCAAGTACCCTGTTCCATATATATAAACTAGATTTCAACTGGTATATACTCGTGTGACTAGATCGTAGATCTTTTTTGTTTGCGACTAGATAATAATTTATAATTTTTTCTCGAACTCGACAAATTTATTACTCGATTATGACTAGAGATACATATATGCATATATATGTATATATATATATATATATATATATATATTTATTTATTTATTTATTTACTCAGACTTATACATTTTCTATATTACACATTTTAATTGCCTTAAATTATACCTTTGATTTGGATTTTAGCTGTATGAGATTGGTTAATAGTAATCAGCAATTTAACGCGTACACTGGGCAAAATGAGATCCGCGATTTGTTTTTCTATTATACTCAACCTCTGTCCCTCAATTCTGTCCCTTTTATATATTACATTAGAAGCTATATACAAGTACATTAGAAGCTATATATATATACAGACTTTACATAGATAGACCGATTGCGGCGCGCTTTACACGATAATATACATACTGCTAAAACTTTACAAAAATTTACAGAACATGTGTCTCACTAGAAGTTACTCTTACTTACAATTACAATGGCACGATCCTACGAATTAATGTTAGTTTGACGAATTGACTAGAGCTCTACTGTCTATACGATGCGTTAGGAATGAGATCTACGTGGGTGGTTTGGATGAGTTTGGGATGAAATTTCTATGAGATGGTGCAGCATATCGTTTGGATTATATGACGCCTGGAAAGTTCCACTTCTTTCAGGCTCAAATTTCGACCAGAAGCGCGTTGTTCATGTTTTGTAGTCGTTTGAAGCGAGCGATTCACGAGAAGTTGTCGTAAAAATGGAAAAAAACGTATAATCAATCATTCGTATATAATCAAATAAAATTGTATGGCATTATCTCATAGAAATTTATACCAAATTTATGAAACCACCCACGTACTTTTTGTCACGGTGTACACGCAACAAACACACACACACAAACTCTCTCTCTCTCTCTTTCTTATCTCTCAATTCTTTTCATCAACAATACACATACGTGTGATGTAATTGATATGTTACGTATTTTTTATATAAAAAGTTTAAGTTATATTTATATTAAAAAGCATGCGAGGATATATATCCTATGAAACTCAGTGTTTTTGCGGAAAGGCTGAATTTTTCAGAGAAAAAAAAGGATAAATCTTTTTGTACAATTGAAGTCGTAACAGATCAATTGTATTGTAGGTGAGAAAAGTTGGAGGATAATTTCTTTTTGCGACAAATATATATTAAATTTTTACATTTACATTCACACAACCCTGTTTATTCCTGGTAAATTCTATATAGGTGAAATTTAATTCTACGTTATTTGTGCAAGGGTATAAACAGCAAATGCTTGAAATCGATTAAAAGTGACTGGGAAAAGATTCTACGCGGACGTAGTTTGCGGAAGTAGCGATTCGAAAAATAATACGTTTTACGAAATACGGTCTGCTCGAATAACGACGTTTTGACAGTGACATTAAAGAACAAGATTGTTTTTAACATGTACATTATATATGTGCGTCAATTTTTCTTTTAACTTCGGATTAATTGTTTTCAGTCAAATAATATATGCAACATTATAAATCTGTCTTTGGTATGTAGCTTGGTATGTGTTTTTGGTATATAGCCATAATGGCGTATTAAAATGACTAGAAATAAATGGCGTTATAATGACTAGAAATAAATGATGTAATGATTTAAATGACTAGATACTAATATTACGTTTAAATGACTAGATAATGACTTACAAAAGACTATGTACATATCAATTAAATGAAAATTTAGTAAAACAAAATTTAAAACAAATTTAAAAACAAAACAAAAAAATTAAGAAACAAAAATAAAACAAATTTAATAAAATGAATTAAAAAAAAAAAAAAATTAAAACAAACTTAAGAAATTTTGTCGATCACAAATTAAGGGCCCCTTTTTTTTATGACTATTTTTTGTTTTTTCTTATTGTTTTCTCTCGTCTTTTTTCTTAATATTAGAACGAACATGCACACAGAATAGCTTTTTGATTTTCTGTACTCACATATTACAAATATCTTAAAATCATCGAAGCGAATTGATTGACAAATCTCATCATCACGCGTCTCTCTTACAAGTCAAGGCCGAATCTCCAGTAGAGCCCAGGTCGTCTCGGCAGAGGTCTCGCTGGAAATTGGTGTCAGGTCATCTCGCTGGTCAACTGGCTGGTCGGGACTGTCTGAATGATGTCGGGTTTGCTGATGGTTTTCTGATCATCGGTATTATTGTTATTGCTAGTGCTGATGTTGTTATTGCTCTCGGGATGTTGAGTGGCTAGGTGTTTCCGTAGGGCGACTTGTCTGGTGAACTTAGCCTCGCATTTGGTGCAAGGGATCTCTCCGTTCGACGACGACGACGACGACGAAGACGACGACGTTGTAGACGATGTGGAATTATTATCGGTGTTGGGCAATCGGGGCTTGTGCCAACGTCGATGAGATGCCAAATTGGCCGGACAGGAGAATCGCTTGTCGCACTCAGGACAACGGTACTCCACGTGGGCGATTCGGGAGCACCGGTGTTGCGCGAGCTGGAACGCATCCTCGTGAAGCTGCCGGCAAAGCTTACACCGATACGGTCCGAGCCGATTCTCGATCTTGGCTAGTTCGGCGCGCGCCTCTTCCGTGACCTCGACGATGTTGAACGCAGGATCGATGTCACCAGTAACTACCGCCTCGTCCGGACCCAAGATGACGGTTCCCGACACCGGACTACTGGTGTCCTCGTCAAACTTGAGCCGTCTGGCGTGTTTCTTCTTGGGACGTTGAGCGGCGGTCTTCTCGCTGCTGTTGGTTTGCTTCGGGGTCGACAGGGAAGAGGCTCCGCTGGCGCCCGAGGACGACGAGATGAGATCCTCCTCACGGACTCTTCTTCTGGGACACTGAGGTGGCGACGGAGTGCTGGGTGGTGTCATAGGTCCGTCAACGCTCTGAAGTTGCTGCTGCGGTGTTAAGAGGAGATGTTGATGATACCCCTGCATTGATTGCAAGTGCGTCGGACTCGTCAGGAGAAGCTTCTGATTGTGCAAATGATATTTGGAGGCGAGTTCGTTTCCGGGATATGATGGCAGTCGAGTGCTCTCTTCGGGAAGATGATGGATCTTGTCGACAATGGAGTCGTGGAAGCGAGGCGATTCCTTGCTGAGGACCAGTCGTTCGTAATGACTTTGATGACTCTGTGCTGAGGAACTGCGTACGGTGTCCAGATCGTCCACTACCAGCTGTTGATCGTCATCGCCGTTTCTGCGACTGTCGGGACGAGGATGGATTTCGTCGCGAATTCTGAGATCTTTCTCGTCGCCTACCTCGATCATTTCTTCCGTCTTTGGCGTCGGTAGCGGTTTCAAGGACAGATCCAAAGGACACGGTGTCGGGGGACTCGAGGACTCCCAAGATTGCAGCGGTGTGTGATGATCGGCCGATGGAATCCGCGGGTAAATCGGCGAGGACGGATCCTCCATCGGTATGTGCCACGTGGTCGGCGGCGCGGCGTAGGCAGGGTGATGAATCTCATCACTGTAGTAGCTCATGTAGCTGAGACCCGGGGCCAGAAAGGCCCGCGGCAGAGCGCCGTGAAGCATCGTCCGCTTCTTACCTGCCTCTCTGGATTTTCTTTAAAATTCGCACCACCTTTTTCGCTTCTCGCTTCGTGTGTCCTTCATGGCGCTAAGTATATAATATTGAGTTCGCGCGGTGTGTGCGTGTGTGTGTGTATTCGCACGGACACACGGATGGCCGAGGAAACTCGAAGAACGTCCAGCTGTCACGAAGACACTTTCACTGGGGGAGGGAGGGAAGGAAAGAGACGCTGGACTTCTTGCAAGGGTTCCAGAGAGCCCCTTGGATGGTACGGCGTACGTTGGTGACACTTTCTTCCTCGGCTGTTGAACGCCGTTTGGAGCCAAGTGCTCGTGCCGCGCTCGTTTATGCCTTATGCTCCGCCTGGGCAGTCGCCGTTCATTCGTCGCTCATTGGTCCGGATGTTTCCACCCTCGTTCTACTCTATCGCCGAACGCATGCGTATTTGTAAAATACTCGATGCCCCGCACTGAACTAGCAGACGCTGCCGAGCAGCTGGTGGGGAAGGGATGTAGCTTCTCGCCGCTGTTAACTATCGGATGTTTCCGACAGGTAAGATCTCGGATCGAAAAGGACAATGAAGATATTTTACAGATTGTATCCATTTCTCGTTAAAGATATTCATATCTCTAGCAACAATGTTAAGCCAGTAAGTCTCGAGTATTCGAGTTTCGTTGAAGACAGCAATCGCTCGCGAAAGCTTGCGAAATCGTGTTCTTTTACTTAAAAAAAAAAAAGTAACAAATAATCAACATTTTCACGCGCATGTATTTCTTGCGTAAAATTTTTACTTCGAAATTATGTACGACGCGGAAATTTATGCCGTGGGAAAATAGTCATGCACCGTCGCATTCACTCTCGAAGCGTCTCCACTCTCCGGTTGTTAGAAGCACGTGACGTTAGCTTAGACGCTAGAAAAGACTCGTGTGTTCTGTTTTCCACGTTCGTCTTCTTCATTGGCAGCCGAACTGATGTCTCTCATACGTATACCGGGGCGCGGTAAGACGTGTCTTGATAACCCGATATTACACACGCGTCTCCGACGTATAGTCATTATAATTGCGCGCGAAATGATACATGTCTCGCGTAGCACATGTAGCGTATCGAAGAATAAGGTATCGCATCACCTTGCCTGCGAGAGTCAATCGATACACCACATGTCTTTGGATTCCGTAAAAACGTGATGCGCGCGTGTTCGTTTTCTCTAGAACCGAACGTCGATCTTGTCGAAGCGCGTTCGGAATTCGGGAAAATTATACATGTCGACTTAATGATCGACTAATTAATTCAAACGGTGAACTGAAAATGGAATTCAGACGAGAGGAGACGCGTTGGAACTTTAGCGAGCTACATCGCGCATATTTAACGAATGGTCTTGCAACATTAATTACGCCGAATTACGTTGGCCGTCGTCGTCGAATAATAACTTCATCGATTTCATAAATTTAAGGACTTGAGAATTATCGCCGAGTCGATAAGAGTTTGCTCGAAAGCTATTTTTGATATGTTATTTTAGTATATTTTTCAAAAATTCGCTTAATCAGAAACAAAATGCCGCAGTAACGAACAAAGTCGCCGAATAACAATAATTTCCTCTGTATTTCTAAATAACAATTTGAACAATGTAAAATGTAGAAAGAGAACGGACCGAGGAATAATTTTTTCTTTTTTTCTTTCCAAGCGACAAGATGTCGTTCCGTTCTGTGAGGAGACATCTCTCACGAAAAAACGCGCAGCGTCGTAATCCGTTGATCTTCTTACGTAATTAACGGACCGCGTCTGATTAATCGCCATAAATATTTCCGCGATGCTGATGGACGTGTCCGTCGCGTTTGCGCGTCTCTTCGTCGTTGCACATCCGTCCGGGAACGTACGCGCGCGTACGTGGGTGGAGTGACCTCCACCCTGGTCTGACGACCAGGATGGTCAATCTGCACCCTCGAGAGATCCCGCCAAGACCGGGAACACAATCACACTATAATTGGACAAGAGGCTGCTGAGAGATGCGCTTGAGAAAATGCCGCACTTATCTCTTCTCGAAAAGCCGAAAAACCGATTGACGCAATCATCGTTGCGGTAGTTGTGTCCTTGCGTGATTGACGAAAGAGAAGCAATTAGCACAACAGTGGGACTTTGTTAATAATTAGCACGGGATTTATTTATGAAAATAGTTTTCGAACATTATATTTTCCGCAAAATTGTCGCGCATTTCTCTCAGAAACGACCACCAGCTCGCAAGAAGAATCGCTTGGGCGCGTGAAAATGTGAATTGTGATTGAGAAAATGTTATTTTTTTTTTTTCCCCCGATAAAGCAGTTAATCTTATTGAATTATCAGAGCCAATTTTTCGCCACGCATTAGTTGCACAAGAAGAAAAAAATAGCTTTATTGCAATTTTTATAGCAATTATTGTATTTCAAAACCAGCTCGAGTACGAGTTTAGTTTCTTCTATTTCTGATTTTATGATCTCATTTAGTTGTCCCGTCTTTTCTTCTTTTAATTTCTAAATTTATTCCGAATCGGGGCGCGCGAAGAGTATAACAGTCTTCGCGATGAAATATAATAATCCTTGCTCGCGTATCTATACGAGAGGAAGAGAGAGAGAAGAAAAGAGGATTGTTACATTCTCGATGTATATATGTGTGTGTATATATGTGTATATATATATATATATATATATATGTATATATATGTAGATATGTATATATACGCTTACTTATTACGACGTTCTATTTTTGTCGAGACAGATTAGATAGTTATTTTCGATTTCGATATCTCTGTGTATTTTGCATCAGCGCAGTTATATATTATTATTCGGAATCAGAGGAGAAGGGACAGGAAGGGAAGGGGGAGGGGGAATATTCGCAACACGTATCCGGAAATCCGTTTGCGTACATTTGCCCCATAATCTCTCGCTCTCTCTTTCCGCTTTCGTTTCTCTCTCTTTCGCTCGTCAGGTATAAAATTTCAACGCGTATCCATCCCGGGCGTAATCATTCCGCCGGGCGAATGAAAACAAGTGGCAGACGGTCCATTATTATCCGCCAAACGTTATTCGAAGTAAATACGGACGGATGTAAAATATAGGCATTAACACACGAGAGAGCCGAAGCGAGCGAGCTAGCGAGCGGCGGCCAAGCGCGCGGCGCGGCGGTCGATGCGGATTTGCCATGATTATTTGATACCGATGGCGAAACATTTTACCACGTGTTGCGCTACCGAGCGCGCGGTATACAGAATGCGTTTCGCAAAACGTGCGATAACGTCCATAGGGTGTTTTCGACAAAAAGAGATCGCGAGATTTCACATTTCGTTCGAGGCGCTCGTTCGGAATAGACGAAGACCTCAGTTGGACAAATAATACGCACGTACGTGCGCGTTTTTCCGCAACTGCTGCTTCGCGTTGAGACGCGATCGCAATTTTCACGTCACGCGTTACGCTACAAAGATTGGCGATTCCCGTTTTTCGGGAACACGGCGTACATGAAAATACCCGCGCGATGCATCGCTCGGATTACACGCGCAGCGAGCGAACATTAGATATATATGTATATATGTACACGGCTTGCGCGCTTTTTGGCCGCAAAATTGTGCAACGAGTTAATGCGTTGTGTTCGAACAACAACCAATAGTGTGTCGCGCGACCACTGGTTTGCAAAAGAATTTATATTTGATCTGTTCGTTGTAGAGAGGCTCGAGGTAAATCGCATGTAAAATATATGCATAATGCTGCTCTCTAGCGTCGGAAATGCGTGCGAAAATTATAGGTGAATTTAACACTTGTGAGTGTTAAATTAATAATTATAAATGTGAGTGTGAGTGTGAGAGACAAAGCTGGAGATTTGATGTTCTTTCAATTTGCGAGAAAAGTCCGTTTCTCAGAAATTGCGAACGCGAATTTGCTTTGTAAATTGAGAATCCTTCTGTGATGACTTGGTTCTTCGAGTTTGTTTCTTCATTGTGCGGAGCGACGGGCCTTCAGAAGGCCTTTCTGGAAATTCCTGGAAAAAGCGGCTTTTGGAAATTTACATCGTTTCTAAACTCTCTTCTCTTTCTCCAGATACCTTTGTCAATTTCATTATATGGACGTTTTCCGATACATTAGCACCACGTTGCGTTCAATCGCCTCTGGAAAGAAGAAGCGGGGCAAAGATCTCTCAGATTTGCCAAAGTACGACGGAGAAATCTCTTAAATATCTCGCAAAAGCGGAACGGCGCTCGCTTCTCTTCGCCAGTGTCAAGAGAAGAGAAGAGAGAACGATGAAGAGAAAGAGAGAGAGAGAGAGAGGAACGGTTCCAGGACGAGCAACGACGGGGTAAGCTTTTTGCCTACGCGGATGTAGGCGAGTGCTCCCGTCTGCTGGTATGGAGGGAACGAGGCGGGAGGAGCGGCTCCGCGTGCATATTTCATGCGATTTTAATGTGTCTCCGCTGGCGAATACTCGGATGGAACCGGAGAGAGAGAGAGAGAGGGAGGAGGAAAGATAGAGAGAGGGACTGTGTGTGCCACCACGTTGCACGGGGCAGGAGTGACTGCCGTGATGCTCTAATCGGCTTACGCAACAAGCCACCCTTATCCCGGTCGCTCTCTCGTTTCCGCCCTCGTTCGTGCCACCCCCTCCTCCCGCCCACTCCTCCTCTCCGTCGACGCTCCTTATCCGCGCCGCGTCCTAAATGACGGCTATTACTTTGCGGTCGCTTTGCTTCTTCTCGCTCCTGTATATCCTTCAAGAACGACGGTCTCTCCTGATGCGGGATGAAAGAAGCAGCGGTGCGCCTCCCCTCCCGGGGGTTTTTTTTTTTTTTCGTCCGGAGAGAGACGAAGCCTTCAAGTAAAAAAGATATTTCAAGGAGATACGCGCGCGCTTCGCACACATTTCGAATAATCGACGTCGAGAAAAAATTGCGACAACTCGCTTGTTCCGCTCGTCAAAGCGGAATACCTTAACATTCGCAAGACTACCATGTACAAACAAATACTTTTAAAGGGAAACATTTTGATCCTAAACATATGCACATGGCGGTGGTACGCGATATGCGGGGTTCCGATCTGCCCTACCTTTCGTGTGTGTTTGCTGAGTGCACGAACGATAGGGGGGGGGGGCAGGAGGAGGGAGGAGAGGGCCGCACTCGGGTTGCCCTAGGCCAGAACGTGCATTATTGGATAGAGTTACGTTAAACATACGTGCCGCGCGCGTACCGCACGTACGCTTGTTTCCACCCGCTTTTCCGATGCCCGGTGTCCTCGACTCGCGAAGCGCGTCATTCGCGCCGCGAGATATCGGATATGAACCTGATGAGTTTACTGCCGGCAAACATACGCGAGCTGGCCGCACATCGCCGGTAAACGCCCGTGTCGTCGCATTTCCGACCGACGGCATGCCTTACTCCCTATAATTATTACGCAGATTAATACTGACACCCCCACATATGTGTGTACACTGCGAACGAAATAGAAAAAAAAAAAAAAAACCATATGAAACATAATCCAGAAAGATGGAATTTAATTTTTAACTCACACACATATGCGGGCTTTCGAGGAAATTCACGAGAGAGGGGTTCGAAAAGTGACAAATATCTTTCGATAAGCTTGAAAGACTCTGAAGATTTTATTTTAATCTTTAATAAATGTTGGAAAGAGATCCCGTCGTTTACAATAATTTGTGTAAACCTGATGTGTGTGCGGACCTGTATCGGCCTTTTAACCCTTTTCACTCGGGGCTGCAGGATTATTTATTTTGCTCTCACAACTTTTCAATTGTAATTGCGTATCATAAATAAATAAACTTCAAAAAGTTATACTTATAAACTATTGTCACGATTTCTTATATCTAGATCTTAATATCGTAAGATGCATGAGATCGTATATTTGAATAAAAAAAAACACTAGAATAAGAATTAAAAAACAAAAAAATTTTAATTTTTGGTCGAATTAAATGCACTCATTTGTAGCTGTGAGATTCAGCTACGTTAATCCCGCTTGGTAAGGGTTAAAAGTCTCACTAACTATGTTATATATATATATACAATAATTTTTATATACATACGTATTGTATACACAAGTAGGCGTTATTTAAAGATGCGTGTAACGCACTGTTGTATAGATAACTCCGAAAGATATATAAGTATTAACTCTCTATACTCAATGTTTTGTATATCATAAAATTGTAATAACTGTTTGACTGCAAGTTTTCAACAAGTTTAATTCGATAGCAAGAGAATAAGCCTTGGTTAATAATCGATAATATTTCTTACTAATTTGGTGAGCATCCTTGTTAAGTATCACATGCAAGAAGAGAGTGGCAGGAAAATTTGTATAATTATCGGACGATTTTTTTTAAGTATATATATGTAACATTACGTTTGTTAATAATACTGTTCTGTGTCTGTGTCGGAAAAGATATTGGTGAAATTTTATTTTAAGAAGAAAAATTTGTTTTTTTATAGGAAGAAAACTTCCTATCGCGGAAGCAACAAGAACCTTTGAAGAATTGTATATAAATTGCCGAACTTGTTCTATAACGGCTATTTGTTAAAACTTGAAAATCGATGTCGTTGTTTTTATTCTAAGCTCTGCGAACGGTTTTCTTTTTTTTTTTTATTTTTTTATTTAAAATGCTTGCGCAGCAACTATATAAGGTTAAAATTCTATCGTCTATGCGAAAATTGTTAAAATTGAATATTATATACTTGATTTTTTACGGACCAACTATTATTAAAAGGCACAAATTTAAATAGCTGCTATATCAATGATTTGTATTATTATTATTATATGCAAAATTTTAGAGAAACTGCGGCATTCTATTTAACCTGCGGAAAAAAAACGCTGCGAGAACGAGTATATATTAACTATATATAGATAATTATTATGATTTTCCAGCGTGAAAAGTTGTAAAGCTGAAATTCCAAAATGCGAAATGCAAATAGTAGAAATTCTCCAACAGAAACAGTAGATTTTTCTATTATAGTAAAATTTTAACGATAAAATGTCAGGCTTAATCGCGCGTGAAACGTGTCTCTTGCATTCTGACGTCTAAACAAAAGTCAAACTTTTGTAGCTCGATAGGAAGTGGACCCTATTTTGTAATTTGGCACGTACGGCTATTGTTGTTGAATAACTCGAAACAAGTAAATGTTTTAGTGCAAAAAATACGTCTGTGTGACATTTTTGATTTCAACAGTGACGATTAAGCCTCGGACGTCTTTGACATGCCTTCGGCATATCAATGTGCCGGTCAAAACTTCACCTACAGAAAAAAACACAAACACAATATTTTGATACGTCGTAAAAACTTTTCGATATAAGATAAAATTTTGGTCAGTCATGTAAAAAAAATTATGATTGAATTTGTAACTCACCCTCGGTTATGCTGATGGGTTCGCTTAAAGAGAACACCGTCTGTTTCCAATGCGTCGGCGGAGCTTGCGGACTCGTGCTGAAGTGCACCGGATTTTCGAGGTCGAAGAAGATGTCGAAGTAACCGATTATCGCAGTTAACGATCCTGTCTTTTTCACGGTTAACTTGAACGGGGACGAGAAGTTAACGCAATCAGTTGTAACTCGATACAAATCGAAAACTTGTATTTCGGCGGTATCCGTAATCAAGTTGTTGGCATTGCAGATCTCTATACTGGGTTCGCGCACCACCTCATTTTTCATGCAGCTCATTTTGAAACCGTACACATTGGTCCAATAATCAACCAGATGAATATATCTCTCTGTAAAAAAGTAATCACACATTTTTTTTTAAATAATCAATTTCACTGGTGACTTAAACAGAGAAAAAACAATGCAACTGTGTGATACGCACTTGTGTCGCCGCTTCCTACAATACTAATTGTGCATCTATTCGGCAGAAGTACTCCGCCGGGTGTTAAATAATGGTCCCTAGCATAAATTACAGTATCTAGCATTCCCTCGAATAAGAGGAAATACCCCATCCATTCGGATATTATAGCATCCACTTTATCCACCCCTATGTTAATATCCTCCAGACGACCTTTTTTTAACGTAATTATGTCACTGAGATTATTCTCTCTGAAATCAATCTTAATATATGTATTATATTTTTTTATTATTATAATATATATATTTTTTATATACGCTAAAGTTAAAATATCCCACTTTAATTCGGGATAATGTCGTTTAATTTGTAATATTTTCTTCATAATTAATTCGTTTATACACATACACGTAAGTTATTACAAAATGTATGATAATTTATACCTCACTATGTCTATAGCACGATATATCATTTTAGATTGATCAACACTGATGACGTTTCGACAACCAGATTTTGCCGCAAACATCGACAAAATACCAGTCCCGCAACCAACATCTAGCATTATACAATCTTGAAATCTGTTGGAATTTTTTAGCAACGCATCACGGTAACTCTCTGTTCTTATTTCATCCTGATGAAAAATATTTATATGTTACATTCTTTCTCTAAATGAGATGTTTTAGTAAGTTTATTTAATTTATTTATTTAGGAATTACCGTTAACATCTCATGATGTATAGAAAAATGATCGTACGAATCGAAGTAGCTGTCCCCATTTGAATTTTGAGTAGTGACTAAACTATTCTTTTCTTTCTCATCTTTATCATTATCTAATACTAATTTTTGAACTAGCTCTCTCATTTCTTCTATTTGCTGCAGAAAAAAAAAGACAAATATGATATTGTTTTGTGTACACATTCTTTATATAATAATTATATACATATATATATTGATTATATATATTTACCTGCTGTACTAGAAAACACTTTATCTCACTTTCTTTTAATTGAGCCTTAAGTAACCTAATTGTTCTCAACATATCTTCGTATTGTGCTACCGACAATGTAACGCCATCATCATTTTGATGTATTATCACATTTTTGTCACTCACATCCATAATATTAATGAGATCTTCAACATCTTTATTGAAACAACATAAATCATCGTCATTCTTTTTGTACACCGTCAACAGTTATTCTGACTTTTTTTTTACACTTACCGTACATTAACCACGGATCATCTTCCACAACCGGATGTAAATACTCATCCTTGTCCCAATCGTCTACACTCAGTGTAATCAGCTTTTCAGATGAAACAGATTCACGACGAATAAAATTAATTAACTTGATATAGGAATAAGTATCGTGAGTGTGTTTCCTTATAAAATTGCTAAAGTTCAACTTGTGCTCGGTCTCTATATGCTGCAGGGCGGAAGGAAATCCTTTCTCAATTGTTTTTTCACAAAACAGACACGGGATATGATGATTCTCGTCATTTTCCACCCAATCGTCCCCGCTGTCGCTATCGCTTGACACGTCAGTGCATCCTTGAAAAGAAAAACTATACTATTTAATTTTTTGCGTTAAAAAGTAAGAGAGAAGAACGTAAAATTAGAAATATAACAAATTAGAAACCGTTCGTTACAAACAAAAACTAAACTGCTAGAGTTTATGTACAGTAAAAGAAATGTTCCAATATCAAAACTAAAATAAAAATAATAAAAAAAACTTCTGAGAAACATCTCGTCATTTGTGTTTTCACACGCATATAAAATTTAACCTCTTCATCACATGTCACATCTGCAAATGTAGCAACTGTATATATGGTTTGTTACCAGATTTTCACTGACATTACCTGATTTCGCCATTATGAGCTTTTCTTTTTTTGTTGATATGTGAAAAAATTAGTTCGAAAAATAACTCAAGCAAGAGTGTACGAGCAAGTACTGCGAAGCACGTGTCAACGATTACTGCTCCGGTTCTTCCGGAGTCAAGCCCGGTTTACAATTAATCGCGAACGCGGCTCTTGCGGAATCGATCAATCACATCGGGCGATTAGCCGGTGCGAATCTCGAAACTCGCGTCTTATGTAAACCAGACTATAAACATCGTCACGTGTAACAAATGTAAAGAATTCGAGAAGGAATACATAAACGAGATGACAGTGGTGTTGCGATGGCTCACGGTGGATTTTGTGAAGTGAAACGCATGGTGTAGCTGAATAAATAAACATAAAAATAAGCGCAAACACGATTAGAATAATAAGTATATAATTTATTATAACATTGCTTATAGCGCACAATAGTATTTATACATATATATGTATGTTATGATTATTTCAGGCATTTTTAAAATCAATCATTTCTATCGAGTGCAAAAATTTTGATAGGTTGAAGATGTCGTGACCGATCTAGTTTTTTTGCGACAGTACTTACAAACATGCAGGTGTATAACATACTGTTGGAAAGATAATACTTTTAACTGTCATAAAGAAAGGAATTTTAATGAATGATTTATAATATATATATATATATATATTGATGGCCCACTCAAGTCAACAACATTAAATCGTAAACAGAAATTGGTTCGATTCGGACCAGTCGTCTCGAAGTAAAATTGAAAATGAACATCGACAGAGTCCATTTGCGTGTAATTATGATGTACGAGTTTCGGAGAGGGACGCGCATTTCGAACACCGTGAAAAACATTTGCGATGTGTTCGGAGAGAACGCCGTGTCGATTCCAACGTGCGAGAGGTGGTTCGCAAAATTCAAACGGGGCGATTTCAATCTTGAAGATCAGCCACGCTCCGGTCGGCCTTCTGGTATCGATGACGACATTGTGCGCAATTTAGTGGACGCCAATTCGCGAATTTCAACGCAAGAGATTGCCGACAGATTAAACGTCGACAGATCGACCGCGTTTAGGCATTTAAAGAAACTCGGATACAGTTTGAAACTCGATGTTTGGGTGCCACATAGTCTGACAGAGAGGAACAAGATGGACCGAGTCTCTACGGCCAATTCCTTGCTTGGCCGATTAAAAACCGATCCGTTTCTGGATCGATTAGTGACGGGAGATGAGATATGGATCCAATACGACAATGCGGAAAGAAAACGGACTTGGAGACAGAAGAAGAACGAATGCGATCAGCCAAATCAGGCTGATTTGCAACTTCAGAAAGCTGTGTTGTCTGTATGGTGGGATTGCAAAGGTGTCATCTTTTACGAGCTGCTCCCCGTTGGCGAAACTATCACTTCCGACAAGTACTGCCAACAACTGGACAATCTGAAGGCGGCGATTGACGAAAAACGTCCGGTTTTGGCCAAACGAAAAGACGTTGTCTTCCATCACAATAACGTTAGATCTCACATTTCGATGCAAACTCAACGCAAGCTCAGAGAACTAAACTGGGATCTCCTGTTACACCCGTCTAATTCTCCCGATATCTCTCCGTCGGATTATTACTTGTTTCGATCGTTGCAAAACAGTTTGAACGGGAGAAAATTCACTTCTTTCAACGATCTAAAAAATTACATCTCTTCATTCTTTGACGAAAAGCCAACTACCTTTTACGACAGAGGCATACGAATGTTGCCAGAACGTTGGCGAAAGATAATAGAAAACAATGGGGATTACTTGATAGACTGAATAAATCTTTTTTAATCAAAATACTTGGTCCACATTTTTCTATCACATCCAAATTTATCAAAACTTTTGCACTCAACTTTAATATTATTACTAATGTGCAAAAATATGCATATGTTTAAAATGTTTTCCTTCATAAATGTTATTTATACCTTAATTTACATGTTAGTATTAATATGTTATTATTATTTTTAAAAAATTTACATGCTATTATCTTATTCTCGATACAAAAGTGTATTTGTTAACGATAAAATATTCAACAGCATGGTGACTACGAAGGAAACGTAATTGTCATACTGAGTTCTCGTTCATGTGACGTTTCACAGACGTAATCACGTCCTCGGCATCTCCGAGTTTTCGTTTTACGCCACTCTCGCTCGTTATCGGCCTGTTGATTTCTCGACACACATTCTGTGCAAAGTGAAAATCCACATGTTCGCTAAACCTCGTAAGAGGTATCATTTGATTGCACTCAGCGCATCGTTCCAGAGGTACGTCGTGTTCGCTCGAATCGGTCTTGATTAAGAAGTTGTCCAAGGGATTGGATTTTTTGCCAGTTTTGTTGATAATCTTGAATTTGCTGGGTCTTCCTCTTGTTGACTTGGTCAGTTCCCGTGTACTCTTAACGCTCTCTTGCTTCTTGCTTCGCGAGTTCATGTGCGCTTTTGCTTCCTCTTGCAACTCAGCTGGCAACGAGGCCAAAATATCGGAATCTATATCGTTTAGATTGGGAAATATGTCCCGCAATCGCACTGAGGATTTTTGTACAGAAGTTTCTTTCTTGCTCTCTTCTGCGGAATTGTTGCCGCTCGCACACGCGCGACTCGTGGAAGGCTTTTCACGAGCTTTTTCTTGCATATCTGAATTTGCGTTGTAATCATTGCTGTTTTCACTATGCGCATCTTCTTTATCTATCTCTTTCTCACTCTCTGACTCTTCCACGGTATCTCCATCAGAACGTGTTTCTTTTTTTGTCTTGTATATATTCATAAAGAACGAATCCTGAAAATCATTGGTATCTACTGTCACGCCCGACAAACGTTTGTTCTTGTCGCGCTCGTTGCACACCTGAATCAGCTTGAAAACTTTTTGCGACGTGGGCGAATCTTCCGTACACTTATTTAACGAAGTTTTGACGATTCTCTTATTTTCCTTCTTCGGCTTGTTAGCTGTTGCAACCGAATCTTCAGTAGTAGCCAACTCTTTGCTTCTTTCGGACTTCTCTTCTTTCGTTTTTATCGCTTCTTTTTCTTTGCTAACAATAGGAGTAACAGTTTTCTCTTCTCTCGCGTCTGTGTTCGTCGATTGGAAATTTCTTTTATACTTGGGTGAGTTATCTGATTTGTCAATTTCAGAATTCACTTTGTCACCGTCTTGATCTCTCGATTCGGCGGTTTTAAAAAATTTTAAGAAGCTGTTACTCTCCTTTGCCGGTACAATAGGAGTAACAGTTTTCTCTTCTCTCGCGTCTGTATTCGTCGATTGGAAATTTCTTTTATACTTGGGTGAGTTATCTGATTTGTCAATTTCAGAATTCACTTTATCACCGTCTTGATCTCTCGATTCAACAGTTTTAAAAAATTTTAAGAAGCTGTTACTCTCCTTTGCCGGTACAAACTTACTGGCATTGATGCCCATGCATGTCACCGGACATTGTGTCGATTTTGTGATAGCATCCACACACTGGCTCGCGATCTTCTCCGGTTTGTACGAGTTCAAAGTGAACGAGCGCGTTTGGGATACGGTACTTCCATTTTGATAGTAAGTGTAAGAGATAATGAGTAACGTCGCGCGTCGATGATTCTCCGCAAGATCTTGTTCCAGTCGTTCGCAAATTTCTGCCGCCAGATCACCGGCCCAGTGCCTCAGCTATGCACGAAATAAACGCTTTTTTTGTTCAATCTGTTTATACAATTTTCATTTGATATTACAACGTGCTTTGTCTTACCACTTCCGAAGTAGCGTGCTTTCCAGGAAACGTTTTGTACGCTCCAATAGACTTTGCCAGCAGTCTGCTAGTAACGGGCTCGTTGTCTATACCTCGGGCGAGATTATACAACCAAAATCTGAAGATTTGCAATTGTAAATTGTCAGAAATGATAATTAATTAGGATTTATAGTCATCTAAAAAAAAAATGTCATTTATAAATAAAATTCTATATTCACCCTGTTTTTTCATCAAAAGTTTTTTGTAAATGTTCCAACGAATAGTGCAACAAGTCTCCCATGACGTTGCAACCCAGAGATTCAATCACGACGTCGCCAAACTTCCCACCAAGATTTCGAACTTTCTTCACCGGGAGTGTCGAATAAAAACTCGGAACCGCCGCCTCGGGCAAAATTGTTTGACAATTTGGTTTGTGTAGTCCACACGCCAATTTGGCTAATATCTAAAAATTAAGCAAATCAAATGATGCGAGTTGTAATGGTCCACATGGTCTTTGTTTTTTTGGAATAGTAAATACAAAGTCGTAGAAACTATGCTGTAAAACAACGTAAAGGATATTAACTTTATTCTGCGATATTCCAGCTGAACATTTAAATCCAGTTTCTTTATATATGTCAGCTCTTATTTCTTCAACTATAACACCAGCCACAGCAAGTTTCTGAGCCTGACTATCGGGCAATTCCTTAAAGGAATCCTCTATCCAAGTTTCCAGTCCATTTTTTCTCTCCACTGAAATATTAACGCACTGTATATTATAATCAAATGTGTTTTCACACATTTATAAACGCATAAACATATATAGAACATTACCCTCATCATTTTTATTAATTTCCGAATAGCCTACAATGTACGTATTCGCAAGCAATAACATTAATTCTTTAGGAGACATCTTGCTCGTAGCTAATCTCTTATCTATCACATCTGTAATATCGAGATATGCCTCGTCAATACTGGCGCGTTCTATTACATTACAATGTTTCTTTATAACTTCGATAACCTTATGACCAGCTTTTCGATATCTGTATATGGACGGCATAAAAAATTAATTAATAAACAAAATATTGATCATTAGTACGAGATGCGTAAGAAACAATGTTATATTACTTTCATAAAAGATTTATTCTAATAACTTCTTGCTACCTAGATGTGTCTGCTTTTCCACGAAGACACGGCACAGTGACTAAAATTATATTTGGACATATCTCTTTGGCTTCTTTGCCTCTCATGTGTCTGGTTATTCCATACTTTCTTGCCTCGTAGTTAACGGCTATTATTCTTGTCAAAGATATTAAGAAATATTTTAACATTGATTTGCTGTTATATATATTTAGATCTCAAGAGAGATATCACAAACTACATAAAGCTTCTCTTACTTGCCCATTTTCCATTGATTGTATTGAACGACGGCGAGCGGGTGTCCCTGATATTGCGGCTGCAATTTTGTCTCAACTTGACAAAAAAAGCAATCCATATCTATTAGAACCACGATTCTTTTGCCAAGATTCGCCATCTCTTCTTGAAAATTTTTCCCTCTTGTTACACAAAAAAAATTCAATAAATTACATCACGTGTTTGCGTTGATCAATCATCTTCTTAAAATCGCTCAATTAACACAACCGACGATTAATATTATTCGCAGTTCTTTTCATTTTTACGCACTGCTCCAGATTGCAATAGATACGACAGATCATAATTCCAGACCACCTGTCAGAGATTTGGCGCGTGTACGTAACACTCCTACACTTTCTCTCTACTCTTGAAATAAGACAGACATATTCTCGAGTTCTTTCAAGAAAAAGAAGAGATGTTGCGGTGTTAGAAAAAAGTGTAGCTGCGAAGACAGCTGTTCGGGAGCCATCTTGATAGATTTGGCGGGAAAGACTCGTCGAGTTGTTGTGGCTGCGTTCCGATATTCACTCTCAGTCTGAAAATCTGTAGCATATGTGACGTGAAGTATAGATTTCTGGTACTGGCAGTGAATATCGAAATGCAGCCTAAATTAACATATGTGCGTCATTTATATATGCGACTGGAGCGAGCTTTAATTGCTCCCAGAGCAATTGGAATAAATCGAGCAATTGGTCAATTTGACAAATAACGTCATTATTTTTTTGTTCAGAAGCGATTTATAGACCGATTATTATGACTCCATAACTATGGTCTGCTAAGTTATACTCTCCCTCCTATCATTACAGTATGAAAATATCGACTAGCAATCTGTAATTAATATATTACATGTATATATCAAAGATAATAAACTTCAAAAAACTGGTCCTGAATGTTGCGCGAAAACGTAAACAGCGTTTTCGATCGATGGTAGGTTGAATCGGTTTCCCGCGGCGAGTTTAATAACGTTTTGACAAATCGATCAGTCATATTGTTTGACTTATCGAAGTGACGTCATTAATCGGAAGCGTGCCAGCACCATACGATTTCAGAACAACCCTTTTTTTATTCGCGCACGCGCAAAACCAACAAGAGGAACTTTAACCCCCTTTTTGTATGAAATTTTGTTGGTCTTGTTTGTTTATACGTACGGGATCCACGTAGTATCGCCGTGTTGCGCGAGTGCGTGCGTGTGCCGTGGGATCCTTTGTGTCTGGAAACACCACAATATGCCCAGCAAAAAGAAAAAATATAACGCTCGTTTTCCAGCGGTAAGCGTACGCAACTTCGCATCTTTTCCGCCGTCGTCGCGTAGCGACTGTTCGATGATAACCGAATAAAAGAAAAATTTGCCAATTACAAAAATCGGTTTGTCAGTTATATTCGCGTCTCCGATGTTGGACACATGCACGATGATTTGTTGATTTTGTCTGGGAAAATCGCATTTTCCAATCGTAGCGAGCGAACTTTGACGCACGAGTTGACGCATAACCCTAACCTCTCGCGTATGTTGTCAGGGTCGTATCAAGAAGATCATGCAGACGGACGAGGAAGTCGGGAAAGTCGCTCAGGCGGTGCCAATTATAATCTATATCCTTTTCTGATGTCTGTTTCAAGCGAAAATTTGTTCACGTCATAAATGTTGTATAGACATCTAAAATCAATGCTGCATTTCGGCAGAACTCAGCTTATTAAGCTTACTTTTCGTCGCTAAACTCATGACTTATTGCTTGTTCTGCAATATTTATCTTAGATTTAAAAGGGTACGTCATACATGACAGTTACTGAGCAGTGAGTTCTGTTGAATTGTAGTGGTCGTATAAGAATTTATTAGCACACAAGAATTGTCCTTAACAAAGCTTACCTAGAACCTTAGAGTTGTTTGTACAATCTTTGTTAACAAAAACCATGCAGATCACAAATGCCAAAAATGCCAAGACGCTCAGTCCATCTCACATGTAAATAACAGTCTTGATATTATATAGATCTGTTCAAGTATTTTGTCAAATAACTTGGACAAGTCTAATGTGTTTCTTTTTACACATAAGATATTTCTTACATTGCTTATTTTTTAGGAAACAATGTATCTTGTCAGAAAGTCGATTTGACTTTTTGAAAGATTTAGTAAAATCTCTGCCTGATGTATCAGGGCCGGATGATGAAGTATCCACATCCCCAGAGACTTCCAGCTCGTTGCAAATAAATGTACCAAGTGCAACTACAATGCAGCAATCTGATTTGTCAGAGTAAGTGTTTTGTATAATGATTCATTTCTACTGAAAATCTACATATAAAATTACACTTTGTATTTCAACAGATATCAAAAACATGTGGGAGCACCAATCAATGCCGAGACTAATGTAGATAACAGATATGTGAAGGATAACGGGTTGACCACAGTGTCAAACAATTTGAGTCTTGCAAATCAAGATAGCAAAGTAACAGTAGGAGGACACTCGCAGATTCCAGAATTTCAGATATCAGTACCTGAACCCTTTCAAATTAATCAGTTGAACTTTTATACGGAAGTTAATCCGAGCGTAAGCAATCAACCGACCTCAAATTTCGCTCGCACTGCTAACATCGATGAAGATTATGATACATAGCAATATCACAAAGTCTAGAAAGTTGAAACTTATTTTGTTAACACATTCGAGACCCATGACTCAGCATATGGGTCGTGCAATTCCTCACCGTTTAGTCGATGACTCAGCATGTGAGTCATGTCAATGAGCATGTGGACCATGTCGGATTCTGAGGATAGTTTTGTTAGAATGTTGGTCTCAAATGTGTTAAATATGTTTTACACGCACGATTAGCTGAAGACAAATGCTGCGATAGCAATAAAAAAATATTCTTCAGTTCGGCATTTAAAGTCAACCAGGACTTTGATTCTAATCGTTTGAGCCATTGTTTTGAATTTATCCTTTAATGCTCATATTATTTGTAAAGTCTTGTTTGACACTTTCAAATTGACAGTTGTTTATTTGCTCATATATGTTTTCCAAAGAGTCTCAGAACTGTGTAAATTAATCGGTGGGAGATTATTTGTTGTTAAAGCAAATTTTAAATTGAAGTTTATAACGCACAGTGTATTTTTTATTCTCGAAAATAGTGATAACGTGTAAACGAACGTCTTTTAATTACCTTTTATGGTAATAATGTCTTCTGCATCGTTCTATATACAATATTACGTAAAATATGAAACTCGTTAAATTTAGTTTTTCTATTGAGACATTTTGTATAAAATACATGTTTGCCTTTTTGCGTGTATGTGTGTATGCAGAATGTTTTTTCTATACTGAATGTCAAACTGTATATTCAACGTGAAAATTGCACTTAGAAAAAAAATTCATTTTTTGACTATGTGGTTTTTTTTCTTTGTGTGACTTTCAGTCTTGAAACATCTTGTACACACACACACACACATACACCTACCATTCTCAAATGATGTAGTAACACTTTGATTATCATGCGTATTCATTTACTCAACAATTAGTTTGTAAATAATTTTTTTTTCTACCGATGAAAAAATCTAGAATAACTACCATAGTAAGAGTATCCACAATTGATTAAAATTACTACAATTTACACACAATAATATATAAAAATTTTGTATATATAAATATTTGTGAAACTAGATCACTGATATTACAAACGGCACGTAGTCATTGTGTTAAAACATTATTAGAAACGTGTGTGATTGATAGTCTTAATAGTGTGGTTCATATGCTCATATAGCGTATCTAATCGTGAACTCGTCTCTGATGTTATTGTTCATACAAAGTACGATTGTATCATAATTTGTCAGCAACTTTAGAAGAAACACGTGTAAGAAAATAAAAAATTTTATTGAGCTTGTACGATTGTATCATAATTTATCATCAACTAACTTCAGAAGAAACACGTGTAAGAAAATAAAAAACTTTATCGAGCCTGTAAACACTTTTGCATTTAATTGATTGATTATGTTAAATAAGATATCAATTGTATATTTTTTTATTTGCATATTTATAATGTATATCGTACGAAGTTATAAAATTTTTTTTCTTTACCACTTACAATTCCTCTGATTTAATCGATTTATCGGAATCAAATGTATTTGTCTGGATAATGTAATAAGTTCTCAAAATGAATAAAGCTCTTTATTAGAAATTACCAGAAAATTTTACCGTGTATTAATAATGGCTAAGTAATTCCTTTTATGTGCATATTAATGTAATGCGCAACTCTGCATAAATATACGTCTCGCAGATGTAGTAAAAAGTTAAGGAACGTGTATATCTAGACAAATATAAAAATTCAAATGTTTGATAAATGTGCACACTTACATACGTTTTTGATTCTAAATCATTAAAAAAAAAATAAAAAATAAAAAAATAAATAAAAAAAATAAAAAAAAACGGAGAAGATAACATGTTTTTATAAACTAATTCCTAATCATAGAGAACTAAATTTACATATTTATTAACGATTATGCATGACACATATATTCTATTGTCCGTTATATTTTCTATAAACATTTATCAATTTTTTCTATTTTTCCATTTCTATTTTTAACGTTTTTTTCAGTAAATATTTATCTTCTCACTATTTTTAATAATTTTTTTTCCAACTACTATTTTCTGTGTGTCTGTGTGTTTATGGATATCTTAGAAAAAAGTTTTTTGTTTCTTACATAATACAAATAAAAAAAGAATATTCTTAAAATATTCTAAATATGCACCGATTAGATAAAACAAAATTTGTCTATAGAACAAGGACAAGATTAAGTGACATTGATTTTGCACGTGTAGCAAATTCCGGAATGAATTATTCACAAGGGTTGATGTCACAGTTTGTAGATGCTGTAATCGGAAGCATGTGCGCTCTTTCGTGTCTTTTGATATCATCGTTGTGACTGTCGGAAATTCGTGTCGAGAATAAAAACATTGACAACCTTGGATAAAATTTCGAGAAAGAAAAATTTACGGAACTGCGAACAACTTTGTTAAATCATCATCCGAATTCCACATGAACACAGTGTTCTCAGTTTTGATTTTTTTAAAGTATGCTGAAGCAGTAGAAGGGATGCGCACAACAGCATCGAGTTCTACCTTGCATGAACTTGCTACTGTGTTTTACGCATCCCTTCCACCGCTTCAGCATGCTGTAACAAAGCCAAAACTGAGAACACTGATTGAATATAGTCTCAGTTTGTCATCGCAATTTAGAAGTACGTAAATCTTTTTGGAGCTTGTACGAAAAAGAGAATCTCGCGAACTACTAGTTTTTTTTTTAACGAAACTACTTTTTCGTTAATAATTATTAAAGTAATAAACTTAAACAAATTTAATTATGTTTATAAGACACAAATTATAGTGTTTAGTAACTAATTAATTAGGTGTTTAGTAACTAATTTAAATAATTTATATAAAAAATTATAATTTGTACTATCTGTGTGTAAGCACTTTTCCGTAATTATACTGTGATTATTTTTTTTTATTAATGATATGACTTGACTAGCGATATTAACTCACATAATATGACTTTTTTTTCTGTACTACTACCTTTACAAACAATCATTTAAACACGACAAAAAAATATACTCATTTGCATAGTGTTTTCTACAAAGCGTAAGTACTCTATAAAAGTGATATCGATTATTCATATCAGTGGATTGCTGTTCATCGAAATGATCACACAATGGTGGTTCTTCTTGGTGCTGTGTCACGGACTTATTGCACAGATAAAATGTTTGTTTCGCACACGCGAAATATTTCCACCCGATACGGATCCCAATTTATTGGTCGTAAGTTAAATTATTTAAAGAATATATATTATTAAATATTTTCTTTCTTTTCATGATTTTCTGAAAAAATATTAACGCAGTTTCTTCACAAGTCAAAATATAAATCTTAGAGATAACGAGTAAATTGATTTAATTAATTTTGTTAATTTTGTTTTATCACGGACTCGGATTTTTGCAGATATTTTCTTTATTATTGCTGTAATAACGAATCTAACAATAATAAGATAAAAAAACAAATTAAGTAGATAACTGTGGCTATGATTGAGATGATGTATGTCTTATATAATATTTTTTTAATCATTAGAGCCGAAGTGTATACATACATAATAATAAAAATAAGACCGCGATTAGACCTTGTTTGTATACTTCTGTGATTCACTACATTAAAACTTTGGGAAAATAGTAATATAAGTAATAATTTATGTCACACACACACACACGCGCGCGTTTTTTTTTTTTTTTTTGTTTCTTTAATATACTTATTTACTTATATTTTAGGAAAATTTAGTGAGAAAAGACAATTACTCTTTTGAAATTCATCACGTGACAACTGAGGACGGATACATACTAGCCTTGCATCGGATACCGCCTGCTGAAAGAAGTGCTCGAAATCAGCGAGTGGTGTTGATTATGCACGGATTGTTAGGATGTTCGACAGATTGGATAATAACCGGCCAGAATCGATCGCTCGGTATTAAAATTTCACTCACTCAGAGCTTTTTTCTGCGCTCTCTTCTCTCAGACAGTTTAAGATATAAAATTTGCACACTAAGCACAATCTGCTCTAAATATCCTGTAGCTTATCTTTTGTCCGACAACGGTTACGATGTGTGGTTGGGCAACAACCGCGGGACCACGAACTCGAAAAACCACACGAGTCTTTCTCTAGAAAGTTCCGATTTTTGGAATTTCAGGTAATCAGCATTTGGCACATTAACATCCGACAATTGTTTGTTTTATTCAAACGATAAATTTCTTCAATAAGAAAGAAAGCGAATTTCAAACTTATCCCTTCACGGACAGACCTCACAAATGACGTACAAGTCGAACAGACTGGGTCTGTGAGACCCACGCGACTTTGAAACCAAAAATCTCTGCAAAAAATTAATACTTTTTTTTTTCAATTTTGTTTCTTAAATGTTAACGTCTTCTTTCTGTTTAGTTTTCACGAAATGGGTATTTACGATTTGCCGGCAATGATAGATTACATATTACATCAAACCGGCCAGAGGCAATTGTTCTACATAGGCTTCTCTCAAGGAACATCGCAATTTTGGATTCTAACGTCTCTCAAACCAGAATATAACAGAAAAATTAAACTCATGAGCGCTTTAGCTCCCGTGGCTTATATGGGAAATACTGGTGGTATATTAAAACCTCTAAGTGTTTTCGGAAATTTTCAGGTAAAGATAAAGCAAACGGTGCTCTTTCAAAGATACCACACGCTTGAATGTACGTGCAAAATATTTTTCAAAGTATAAATGATTGCGTGCGAATGACACTTTTCGCAGCCGCTCGCAATCAAAAAAGACAAAATCTTATCAAATACTATTTTATTCAAGATTTTATTCAAGGCGGTTGCACAAAATAAAAGAAGTCCGGGGTCTTCCGAATTAAAAATTAATTTTCAATCAACGTGTACACAATTTACACTTTACACAAATTTCGCGCATACATCTAGCGGTTGTCTCTTAAAAGCTGCTATTTCTCTCAAGTAAAAAAACTATCCTGGACCTGTCCTTGTTCTGATTGGTTGTTTAAAATATAGGTAACAAAAAAAACCATGTTTTTCAAACGAATTTTATTTTATACGTACATGTTAATAATATTGTTTCTTATCTTTTCTCAACAAAAAAGCAAAATCTGCAAGATTACTTTTATGCAAAATAAAAATGCACAATACACAATTTACATAAAACTCGGCAGGGACTTTTCAAATACATCGGATATTTCGAACTGCTCGCAAATACAAAAAAGGAGAAACTTCTGACCTATGAATTATGTCGGGAAGGCTTAATTACTCAACCTCTTTGTGAATTTATTATTTATATGATCGGAGGTATTAGTGGACCCGGCGAAACGGATCACGTAAGTCACATAAATTAAAATCCAAATTGCACAAAACTTGTAAAAGCGATAATCTAATCTATTTTATAAATTTGAGAGAAATGTAATATTTCAAAATTTTTATTACAGTCCCACTTGGCGGACTATTTGCAATTCGCACCAGCGGGATGTTCAATCAAGCAATTGCTTCACTTTTCGATGGGTATTCTACATCCAGGTAATGTTTTCTTTTCTTTTTTTTTTTTTATTTCCAAGTTATTATTATTTCCAAGTTATTTATTACAAGCTTGCAAAAATGAAAGATCGCATGAGTTTTTCCGTAAACTAAGTTTTTATTTTTCTTGCAGAAACCTTTCGGTTATACGATTACGGCATCCTGCTAAATTTTAAACTTTACAAGCGATTTGTGCCGCCGGAATATCCTCTGTACAAAGTTACAGCCCCGGTGATATTGTACAACGGCTTGAACGATTTTCTCTCAGCTCCGAAAGTAAACAAAAGTGTACTGTTAATTTACCGTTGTAAATCAATGGAACATATGTAACTGTTATAGATTTTTGCAATTTTTTAATATCAAATTTACATGTCGTTTATACTCCGTCGACGTATGAATTTTCAGGACGTCGATCTTTTAAGCAAACGATTACCGAATCTATTAGAGAAGCACACGGTAACGGTTAAACGCATAAGTCATTTCGATTTCGTATACGGTAAAAACATAAGAGAACTCGTTTACTACTATCTTGTCGAAAGAATGAATAATATGCTGTAAAACGGTAAGTCACAAAAACGAGATTGTTTTTTCAGAGATGTTATTTTCAAGAATTTACATATACTTTCAAGTTGCTTGTGAAATCATTGTAACTTATGTGTCTTATATTACCAGCTCACAATGTTGTTGCAATTGAATAACTGGACAATTTTATATCGGCGATTTTTTAATCCAGTGTTCCCGAAATTCACGTCTATGCGAGCGCCAAATAACGCAACTGCATAGAATTTTCCTGTTTCGTGCGCACGTATCTGATCTCAAAACTTGACCAAACATTAACTTCGTCTCTACGATTGGATTTTAAAGCCATTGTGACATTTTCGAGAGGCTTGATTTCGTATTTTGGTGTATCAATCTATATATAGAACACGGATTCCGATTCAAATGTAATTATGAAAATACGCACAAATACACACACACATGCACGTACACGCGTATATCTGTGCGTGCAAAGTATATTGTTTAAAGGGAAAAGTTTTGCATACATTAACTAATAATATTTGTAACACACGTAGACTTAGAGAGAGAGAATATATGACTATATTTATTTTATATATGTTGTACGATTTTTTATACACATTAACTAAGATAATTTATTGATTGGGATATATTCATAAATTGTAAAGATATTTGTACACTGTGGCGTACACTGAGTGTCCGAACTGAATCATAGTGAAACGTTGAAGCCAATTGGGAGCAGGTGGAAGATGCTGAAACAAAATAACATATCTAGACCTTACTTGTAAATCCTACTGCACACATTCAATCTACAAGATATTAATAAAATTACTTCGTGTACTATGTCCTTTCGGTTTATGTCAAATGCGTTTTGGTTTTCAAAATGTAAAAATATAAATTTTCTTATTTTGATCGAATCGCACGCTACCGAGTGTTCTCCGAGTCGAAGTTAGTTTTGCAATGTAATAGATTTACAATATATATATATATATATATATATATATAATTACACATGTATATATATGTATATATATGTGTATATATATACATTATATATGTACATATATATCATATATATACGTACATATATATACATATATAATGTATATATATGTATATATATGTATACATATGTACATTAACCTTTAGAGGACATCACTGGCCACTATAAAGGCCAGCTACAAACTCGGATACTTTGCGGCACATGTAGGTTCTATATATATGCATACATTTTTCGCTAAAAAAAGTCAACACTTTAAAGAAAAACTGACGGTCCTCTAAAAATTAAAAGTAAATGTAATCCGAATTTTTTGGCAAGTGACCAGCATGTCAATTCGCGTTCGAATTCCGTCCATAGTTTTGTCACCAATGTCAGAAATACACCTGTACGCTGTATAAAATAGTGCAAATGTACATTTTTGACAAATTTCGAATTTTCTAATTCCGATATTTAAAACCATACGACATTACGATTATTTTTCTTACTTCAGTTTGTTTAGAGATTTCAGAGATTTTTACGCGATGTAAAATACATGCAGTTTTCAAATAACTGACAATTGTTCGATAATTACAATATATATAATCAATATGTATCCTATTTTTGTAAAAAAAAAGAAAAAAAACTACATTTTTGAAAAAGAGAATAGAATATTGAACTCTTGGTCGAAGAGCGGTGTTGTAATACTTTATTTATTCAACAAAGGTATAATAAGGTAGAAAGAAGTCTCTACGTGACATTTTATGTATATTATACAGTATTTTGTTTCACAAATTGCACATATTTGTATTTTTATTCGCTTGTATACACGTTACTTACGCACCAATTATAAACTATATTGCAAAAACGTGCGTGACTAATTATATTATTCTCTGTCTCAAAAGATACATACAGGATATCCGACAATGAAAACCATACCGTTTCTTGTGGATAGGTAAGGCGGGTTGTACTGAGTCAAAACATCCATCTTGCGAGGTTTTTGCAATAAGTGACGAGTTGAGTAATGAATAATATAAAAAAGATTCGCGAAACTGAGCGCGCGTCTGTCTAGAAGAGACAGCTCGGCGTTTCGCGGATCTTTGTAAAATTAATAATTAACGACTCATCACTTTTGCGAAACTCGCAAAATGACAAAGAATTTTTCGACTCAATATACAATCCGCGCTCTACCTATTTACAAGAAACAATTCGGTTGTTGTATACGGACACCGTGTATACATCGATAAACAATCTCTTGAAACGAAGTACTTTACAAGAAATCTAATTATAATTCAAAGAAACATTTAAATAATATAACAAGAAATAAAAACTTTCTACAAAAAAATTTTTGTTTCTTACGTCACGATAAAAAATAAAATAGTACGCGATACTTTATTTTTAAACAAAAATAATTAGAAATAATTATTTTTTAATATTAAATGTTAGTCACTACATTATTGCCTCTGTTTTTTTTTTTTTTTACAACGACTTGAGGACGTTCACTGAAATATAAATGTTGTATTTTCTAGTTTCGTAAATTATATTTTTATTGCACGCAGTTTATTATAATGGTAAATCTAATTTCCGATCACCTGGTGTGCTCATCTAAATCTAATAAAAATCTGTCATAATATATTATTCTCTATCAAAAAGAAACTTATGAAATGATCATAGAAGTTGCATTTTTATCGTAAATAAGAGATATTGATCTATTCTCTTATAACAACAAACAAATTATTATGTATATACATTATTATGTATAAACATAGTTGTACTTTTTTTAGCATATAACATAAAGTTTAAAATTTTGTCGAGAGGATACAAAAAATGTCATACTCGAGTCCGTTTCCTTTATTGTGTAGAAAGAAGAGAATTAATAAAATATCCTACAAAGATCAAGCAAAGTAATAGAAAAACAAATTCATTTTTCACGCGTCTGTGAGAAGTGTGTTATGAATTCAAAGAAGTGATAAAGTGTGCAAAGAATTAATAAAAAAACAAAAAAAAAAATATATGAAATAAAATCACGGAGAAAACTCATCGGGATGGATTTCCAGTTGATGTCTGTGCAATAAATAAAAGTTGAAACTTAGAAGTAATGCTCATCCATGTTCATCCGTGTGTTATGTTCTGTAAGGGTTATAATCACAGAATAAATTTGCATACAACCTTTGGCTAGAAGCAGCTCAGACTCAATTCCTGTATCGATGTGACGACTTCTTACCATCGCGATGGTTCGATTGTCGCGACTTGGATCGAGACTTTCTGTTACGATCACGTGATCTAGACTGACTGTTTCGTCGCCGGCTGCTCCTCCTGGAAACATACGATCTCGATCGTCTCCGATTTCTCGAGCGACTGCTTGATCTCTCCCTGTCGCCTGATCTTGATCGCGAATCTCTTCGTTTTGTTCCCCGTGACGACTTACTACACGACCGACTGCTTTTACGCTTATCCCTGGAATGGGAGCGAGATTTTCTTCTGCGAGAGCGCGATCGCGACCACTTCCTACCGGCAGGAGATCTTGATCTGGAACGTCGACAGCTACGCGAACGCGATCTGGCACGTTTTCGATCACGCGACCGTGAACGTATCTTCCTACTGGTTTTGCGATCGCTAGAAGAATGCGAAGATCGCGAACGACGGTAGTTTCTACGCGTTTTAGCTGACTTTGAGCGCGACCGACGCTTGCGAACACGTTCGACGGACGAGCGAGACGATCTAGATCTTGATCTTCGGCCGCTTCGTGACTTGCTCTCGGACTTTCGTCGTCGATGATAACGTTGCTCGCGTTGCTTGCCCGATCGTGTTTTGTCGGTTTTTTTGCCGACGGATTCGCGGCTCAACTCGGACGAGCTGCTTGTAGACTCACTGCTGCTCGACTCGGAATCGGCCGATCCTGACACAGTGCTGCTGGCTTTCGCCTGTTGTCTGTCGATCGCTGCTGTCGACGCGTTCTGAGGCGTTGTCGACTGTGGACTTCGTCCGCCGCTCGACAAAGTTTCGGACGCTTCTCTTTGATTATTTACCGTTTCTTTTTCATCAACTAAAGTATGACGTCAGGAAGTTACACTTAATTGCGTAGTGACAACATACGGTTGTTGTGTTGTCAGTCGAAACATACCTGGCTCCCGGCAGCTAGTATTACCGGTATGATTTTCCTGTTGCTTATTACTGTACTGCTCCTCGTGACGCTGTTCTTCTTTCTCCTCTTCCTCGGCAAGCCGCGCCTCGATCTCCTCTTCCGTCTTGCGAAACGCCTGTTGTCGCCTTCTCAGAGTTTCCTGTGCAAAAATCAGCCGTAAAATAAAATAACAAGTTTTTTTATTGTCACACTTACACATTTAACATAACAATTAAATTGAAGCTCGTGAGAAGATGAAAATATTAAGCCCAAACTATACAGGTTATATTTTACGTGTGTGTATTTTTTAAAAAAATAGAAGACTAGAATATCAGTTTGCGAAATAATAATTCTTACCTTCAGTTCCTCGTCGCTGTCGTCATTCTGAACCTGTGCGCTCTCGCTCTGCTCTTCCTCGGACTCGCTGTTACTATCGCCATAGATGCCCAGACCTACGGCAGACAGAGCCCGAGATAACATTTGTTCCGTTCACGCGCGCGACGCGTAATACATTCACTGAGACGGAGTGAAAAAAGAAAAGAAAAAAACATACGCTCGGCTCCGATTCAATTTTCGCAGCCGTTTACTTTCATCGAGAAATGTCCTGAGAAAGAGCGAGAAAGACATCTCTCTCGATAAATGATTTTCTATGAACGAACGGCCGAATTAACGTGCGTATACACAGTGACTCGTCTTTTCTTTTTCTTTCTTTCTTTCAGTTTTTTTTTTGTTTTTTTTTTGTTTTTATTTAAACGAGTAACTGCCGTCGCACACCGGCCGTTCTCTAGGGATTTCGCCGTGTGCTATTGTAAAGTGTCGAAGCGTACTTACCAAGCTTGCGAGTGATCTGAGCAAGAGGGGCCGTGTTGTTGAGGGATGCGACGGGGATCTCTCCTGCAGGGACTTACAATACACACGCATTTAGTAACCAATCGCTAAAATAGTGTGCTATTGCACGTATAACGCCCCCGTTACTATCCGAATGGCTTTTTTGTTTTTTTAATCGGCTCATTCGTAAGGAGGCGAATTTCATCCCTGCATTCCTTCGTTTCCTCTCACTTGTACCTTGAGAAATTCTTTACAGCATTATTTCACAATTACAAAGGTCGAACTACAAGTATTATTACATTTCACAGGAGAAAAAATTAGTTCAATACAAGCGATCTCGTATGCGCGAATTATAACGTAACACTTATTATAACGAAACTTGATGAGAGATAAGGACCGCAAACGATGACGGACCTATCAAGATATATCTGTACATTGTATTATAGCCAAAGTATTTGCACAAATATAACAATCAAATGATTAAACAGGCTTAAAAAAACGGCTTACAAGACGCATTGTAAGTTTGGTTGTCGTTAGTTAAATTTAGAGTTCAGTTATTATATTAACTAAAAATTTAGTGTGTTTGTTCGAGTGTTTCTATGAAAGTAACTTTAGGCTCATGCCACTTTTGTGGTTAATTAATTGCTGTAGTATAAAAATGGATATTATGTAATATCAAAATCATGTTTATTTTTTTAGTCTCTTAAAAGTATATATATATATATATGCTATAAAGTAATTCACGAAAACGATTATATATTATTAAAAAAAAACCCAAAAAAACAAAAAAAACAAAATCGAGTTGAGATATTGTCATATACAATCCCTGAAAACGCAAAAAAACAGGATATCCTGAAATTTCCGAATAATTAAGTCTACGCATTAAGAAATCTCTGTTTAATATACTTTCAATAATTTTATATTTACAGAATCGCACAACTTTGTCACGGCATAGCGTGACGAGTAGTCTTGGTAAATCAAATTCTGTGCCCTGGTGAGCAAAAGCGCGGAAATTCAATTGGTTAGTTCTATCATGTGGGGTACCTTTGGCACGATGGCGATTCCAGACATCTTTGCACACCACGGTAATTTCTTCATTTGTTACATCTAGAAGTATTTCCGTCAACGATCTCCTCACTTTTAACATCTGCACAACACGAGATGACGAAGTTTGAACGATTAAAAATTTTTTTACAATTAAACACAAGAATTGTTAATTGGTTAATTTTTAAACTCAATAAAATAAAGAAAACGTAAACCGCTCGTGTGTATAAACAATAAGATAAGTAAATAAGGTCGTTTTTTTTTCGAGCACAAACCGGTATATTATTATCATTCAAATATTACATAAAATATATGTGCGAAACGCACATATATTTCGTTTTCACAACGGTAATTTCTTCAGTCGCGATTAAATAAAAAATGTACAAAAAAGAAGCGCAAAGTTTCTCACATTTTTTCCCCCATATTTCTCACAGAACACGCGTTATGATGATAGAATAGGTCATACATTACAATAGCCGCCAGGTTGCCCATAGGAATAAAATATGAGTCAGCTTTTCGTTGCGTGGGATTTCACGCATGAGATCAAAACGTTTCGCACATATATTTTATGTAATATTTGAATGACAATAATATACCAACCGGTTTGTTAGGGCGACCTTGTTTACTTATCTTATCGATAAAATAACTTTAAGTACAATCATTCACGATCTTACCACTTCCTCCATGATCTCTTCTTGAGATAATTTTTTTGCAATCGGAAACGCATTAGCCGGGACTCTAGTTGGACTTTCGTCAGTATTATGAGATTCGGGCGAATCGGCATCTCTGAATCGCGACTTTCGCGGTCGAACAACAATATCCGGTGTACGGTCATAGCTTCTTTCCACGGATTGTTGCCCGCGCACACTACTTGTATCAAAGTCCTGGTCGTTATCTTTGTCGGAATCCGAATCCTATAATTGTGGGAAAAAAGCAACGCGATGTGATTTTATAAATTATCCAGATTAAATGCAAAGTTAAGGTTGCTGGTGAGAATCTAACTGCAATTAAAACCTACAAATTTGCTCTTGCCAGGATTAAGCACCGCACGCGCCTCGTCCTCGGCTTGTTTGCGAGCTTCCAATTCTTGTTTCCTCAACATTTCTAGCCTTTCTCTTTCCACAGCTTTCTGTTTCTCCTTTTCCATCTTCTCCAGTCCTTCCCGGATCCAGGCCGGTAATTGTCTTCGTTTCGCGGCGTCTACACAGAACGAATCGCAAATCAAGTTTATTGTGCTCAGTTATAACAATTAGAAGTTATTTCCAATTATTTTTTACCTATTGTTGTTGTAGTGTCTTCTTCTGGCGTTTTTTCTCTGTCATCTCGACATGGAATGGGATCTATTCCTCTCATATGAGGAGCTTTGGCTGGATGTCTAATACCTTTCATAAAGTGAAGCGGTTGCGACGGGACTGCATTAGGTGGATCTCCTGGCCAGTAGTTGGTCACCTAATATAGTCACATAATGATTAATTTAATAATCAACTTATTACCCAATACATCCGGTGCAGATATAGAAATAAGGAAATTAACATTTTTTTAATCACAGTTTTTTATTAGTAAAATATATAAGAAACTATATAATCGCTTTGGATGAGAAATTTCAAAATTCAAGAAGCATTATGAACATGACATAATAATTTGTAGATATAGCGTGTATGTGTACGTGCACGTGCACGCATTTATACAGCTGATACCAGAGAGAAGACTGAGAGCGGCCATCCTATCGTAGTTTTTTACGACGGTTTCAGCCGCTGATTTTAGCGCCATCCACAAAAGTGGATCTCAAAGCTCGTTCCACGTTAAACGCAAGTCGCAGGTCTCGTGGAACTGATCAATCACGTTGGTCGATTGGCTGATTTGACTCTGCGATTGGTCAATTTCACGAGATCTGCTACTTGCGATTGATATAAGAACAGCCTTTTGAGATCCACTTTTGTGGATATGGCGTTAAAACCAGCGGCTGAAATCGTCGTAAAAAACTACAATAGGATGGCCGCTCTGAGTCTTGTCTCTACAGATACTATGCAGTAGGATCCTGTTATTACTTTTTATAACACTTGCTTTTCATAATTTTATCAAACTCACTTTGTCTTCTACTTATATGCATTCCTTGCAAATACAAATGAGAATGGAAGATGAGAAAGGAAGGAAATAGTTATCACGTTAAAATGCCGGATCAATTATACATGACTTGTCTACGGTGCCACCGGCAAGTTAAGCACCGATCGCCGGTAAAACCCACAGCATTCAATTTATGAAAGGAAACTTGACCACAATCTCACTAGTCTCTTTATAACAGAATCTTACTGTATGTAAATTGTAAATATGATTGTAATTGTATAAATAAATGTTTAAAACATAATTAACAATCTTACAAATTGTTATATTTATTTACCATATTTATAATGTGTAAGTTAATTTTTTTCATTATTTCTTTACCTGACTGTATGGGTGTGAGGGCGGCACTGAGTTGTAAGAGTACAATGCTGGTGCTGCAGAAGGAGGTATGTTATAAGCAGTAGTAGATATTACCGGTGCAGGTGGTACAACTGGTACTGTTGGAACTCCCATTGGTTTGCCATCAGAACCCATAGTAACACCAGGAGGAGGTACGCCACTCCACTCCCAGTTTGATCCAGATGTTGAAGCGTTCCAATGACCCCACTGGTTCCACTGAGTCCAAGCTTCTGTTTACAATGACACAATTTAGTAATGTGAAAAAATTTTTACTGAACACTATCGCTGACAATTGACTATCTTTTTCACCAGATCCACTTATAGTTGGTGCAGGTGGTGCAGGAGGTACATCATCGTCCTTGGTATCCATATCCATTGGTGCCTCGCCACTACCATCATTTGTAGAAGATATAGGATTGATAATAGGTGGCGGTGGCGCTGGTGGTACAATAGTCTCTTTCATTTTTATCCACTGCTGTGCCAGAGCCGCCCAATCTACTGTTTTCAAATATAAGATACATTAGTTCAATATATTCTTTAACATATATAACAATGGATGTGTTTACTTTGAACGCTTGTTTTAAAGCATTAGTCTTATTTTTATTATTCATTAAATGTAGAACAAGGCTAGATTGACACTCGAAGCGTCTGAGCGCCCAAAGTGAATACATCGCTATAACAGAAAGACTTGCAGTTTATATAGTATAGATTATACCTTGATCATTACTCATATTTTGATAAGCAGAGGGATTTAGGGCCCATTGGGTTGGATAATCTTTCCCTTCATACATTTCCCCACTCATCTTAGACAACAGACAGAGGACACAAAGACAGGGTCCCGTTTTTTCAAGCCAATTTTAACCTACCTATCACAGTGAGAACATATTCTGATCTTTGCGCCACTACATGCAAACTCAAAGGGTTAATGGATGCATCATGTAATTCGAGAAAATCAAACATCGTCGCACATTATTTATCGCTCTTGCGGCGATCAATATTTTTTTTTATAGAAACCAAGTGTATCCTACCGGAGACGAGTCGGTATATCTCTATGTCTAAAGGCGGTGCTCGGTAAACTCGCAGTAGACACCGTTGTTACGAATTCTGCCGCAAGCGGTGACATAAATGTATTGGATACCTCGAAATTACGATTCATCAGAATCAGAACAGATACTCCGAAGTTTCAGAGAAAATCTGTCGACACTCTTCTAACAATGTGAATCCGCATCGTCATTTCTTCTTGCATACTGGAAAAGAGAGTCAAACATTTTCACTGAACCCAGTTGCAAATGTCACGCGACAATGTTGCCAAATGCTGTTAAATATGTCGAACTCGCGCCTTTTTCTAATTTTCTTCCATAGACTGTTATCTCCTCTCGACATGTATTGTGCGATCTGTTCGATTAATTCCGGTTAAAGGCCGGTTCTCACTTTGCGGTCACAGTATCAGCAATGAATTTTGATATAACTACTGTCAATTTCTTCATACCTTCCGATACCTATCATTTAGATAAAGATATACAAAATGATTTAAATGAAGTTATCGAGAACTTATCACACACACACACACACACACACAAAGGTGAAGAAATTGGATATAAATCGAGATCTTTCCCACACGCTGAGTTGTTGCATCATTCTATCCTTATTGCTCATTAGATGTAAAACAAAGGCTGGATCTTCATACAGACACCGGCGCTTTGACACCGAGCGTTGATTGGTGAAAAGTGGGTAGTGGGAGTAAACGGCGCTAAANCACCGGAGCTGTCATGAGGATTGAGTTTTTCATGATTTTTTGGCGTTGAAGCGCCGAAATGTTTGCCATTTTTCGCACGTATATTTATAAATTTGTTTAATTCGATGTTTTAATGCAAACATCGGATTAAACGAATTTTATCT